CTTCTCTCCCCTATTTATGAATGGTCACAGTTCCTGGACAGGGCGACCACCACAGGTGCATACGTGAAGCATGTAGTTGACCTACTAGCATTCCCTAAGCGAAAAGGGATACATGCACAGTCATGGCTTTGAATACTGCAAGGATTTGTTGCATGCAGGTAAAGCCATGTAAATTACAATGATCAATTTCGTGTGAGGAAGACAAGAGTAAGAAGATAATTCAATTATTTTTTTCCTTAACTTTTTTGCTCTTCTCCTCATATATGTGGGGTTCAAAATCATCATTTATCTGTACATTTTTCTTTAAATTGGTAAATACAAACAAATACTTAAAAAGAGAACATCAAGAATTACATTTAAAAAGATAAATATCTATAAAATCATTCAATTTAGTCTTCTATTTATCAATTTTTTTAAGAGATTGAATATGTTTTTATATTATATATTTTTTATGCAAATTATATAAAATTGTGTCTTTGTCGTAATATATATTATGCGAGAAAGATGATAAATTAATTTTGTGAGAATTTTTCACATATGAAATGCAAAACATATGGTTCTAGTATAATTGGACGATAAATTAATACAATGTCAGTCAAACAAAGTAATTTAGATGTTTTTTTTTTTAAGATGTATTATGAGACGATGCATTAGTATCAATCTTTTTCTTTTTTTTTAATATATTAGCATCCGTTTATTTTTCACATGAATTATATTTTGCAGTGCAAAAATACTCCATTAGATAAAGAATTTTAAACCTTTCACTTATAATGTTCATTTCACTTGGATTTGATGTTCTCCAAAAGATAATCCTAATTAGGCCATTGAGTAATTTTTTTCTACATCATTTTGTTAAAATATATTACGGATGTAATAAATTACTCCTTTATGATTTCTAATATATAATACTATTATTATTATTATTATTTAACCAACTTAACAAAGGCTTTTGTTGATTTTTATATATATATATATATATATATATATATATATATATATATATATATATATATATATATATATATATATATATATATATAAAAGCAACTTGTACTATGCTATGGGATATAAGTTTTTTCCCAAGACATCAGATGCACTGAAACAGATATTTTATAGGTTGGAAATCAGTATCAAGTTAAACTAATACTCAAAAACTATCCATACATAGTGAAAGAATAGTTAAATGAATTGCTTCATAAGTTCTGCAATGCCACATAAATTTAAACATTTTCTAATGAAATACACTTTAATAATAAGATCAGTAATTTAGTTACTTCATTTCATTTTGCCAATCTTACCGTTGATTTTCTTTTTGTGATTGTTTTATCTAAATTGTATTAATCGAGTTTCATTATGAGTTTAGATATTTAAAATTTGATTGTCCTTTTTTATTTAGTTGATTAGATAATTTATTTCTTCTGTGATATTTTTTGTCCAACAGGTTTTAAACGGAGCTCAAATGCTCTAACAAAATTTTAAGCATATGTAATTTATATCATTAAACCTCTTAAAAAACACTTCAACTGCACATCTTTCTGAAGTAAACCATGTGTGTTGCTCTATTAAGGAATTTGTATAGTACAAACACTATCATTTCTCTTGTATAAAGTTATACCATACTCATTTTATCAATTAATAAAACCAAGTTACCCCACTGACTCTATTCATCTTGTTTTACCTTTTTACAATTGGGTTTCAACAATAATAACTAAGGTTGAACTACCACAACATACGACTAAATAATGTTGGAAAAAAAAAGAAAAAAGAAGCTCAAATAACAGCGACAATACATAAATTGAACTTCTACATGTGGAGACGGCTCCACTTGATAGCTGAAAGAAACGCCTGTTCCAAGAACTAAGATTGGCTAGGACATTATACGGCAGGAAAAGAAAAAACTGTACCAACTACTACAAGTTTACTTCCTCTTCTTAGCATTTTACTTCCTCTTCTTAGCAGGTGGCTGTGGAACCTCCTCTTCATCCTCATTTTCGTCCTCTTCCTCTTCCTCCTCATCTTCTTCATTATCTTCATCACCATCATCTTCCTCATCATCTTCACCATCACTTCCACCTGCACCATTGGCCTCGGGATCAGCCTCAGGATCATCTTCGGGATCATCCTCTTCCTCGCCTTCACCTGAGAGGTCTTCATCTCCTTCCTCATCATCCTGATCATTTGCTTCGTTTTCACCTTCTTCTTCCTCATCTTCTTCTGAATCACTGGCATGCTTGTTTAGAAGGCAAGTATATTTTCCCTTGTAGAGATCATCAAAAGGAAATCTGACAAGAATAGGCATACATTAGAACTACAAAAGTTTCCTAACATAAAGCATTATTATATTTTCCATAGTGTTGCTTAAGCTTATTCTCACCTTCCATCTATTGGAGTCAATTTTGGGGTGATATCAGTCAGTAGAGATCCGGTCTGGGAAACAAACAGACATAATTATTTGCACCCACTTCTATATGAAAACTGGAACTATAGTAATGTGTCCCATAAAAATGAACCAAATGGTCGACGAACACAAACCAAGCTCATAACATACACAAATCATAGCATGTGGCTTAATTATTGTATGGACTAATTATTACAATAAGAAGCTTTATCAGTAGCCTCCCAAACAAGTGGTCGTGTCATGAGGCAAAAACTAGGCTTCAGAGAGCAGGGTTCCCTAGTGGACACAAATCATTGTCATACAAAGGCAAATAAAATAAAATATCCATGTCTATTTTCATGCACAGAATGCAGAATATAAATTTAGCACAATTCAAGGAGAAGAAACTTCAAAACAAAAAAATATATAACTAATGCAGGCCAAACTTGCATGAAACCCCACATTAGCAAACTGTCCTGCTGTTAGGTTTTACCAATGTATTGCTAGAATCATTGGTTAATTTCTTGAAGAAAATATCTGGTCAATGTAATGTTTCTATGGAACCTCAGTTTCTAATGTATCTAATGCATCGTTCAGAATGATAGAAACAGGTTTTAAGCACAGACAAAGACATAAACACACACAGCACCTAAAGCAAACCAAGCAAAAGAATAACCAGTGCAGAAAGAATTAGGTTTAACGTCAAAAAGAATCTTAATCAAATTATGCTAATTCTATTGCTTTTGATTTGATCTGAACCAATAAATAACAAAGAAGATATAGTAAAAGCTCTCGATTAACAAAAACGGCATTGGCTTACACGAAACAACAAACAAATCGTCATTCTTTCCACTTGACTAAGTTTTTTTTTTTTGGTTCGGAACACAAATAAACATACCAACCTCTGTAACCAAACACAGCCAGCAGTCTAGCAGCATCAAGAAACAACAGTTATGAATAGGGCTTAGCTGCAATCAAATCAACCCCCAATCCGCATACGAAAAACACCACTTTACATGCTTTCCCCCTACCCGAATGAAAAAATTTCACTATAAGCTCCCATTGACTTGGACCAAAATACATAATGGTAAGATTTTAGAAAAAATCCCTAAATTCATCTGAAGACAACAAGTAAACGAACGAAATAGATGTTAAAAGTCATGCCAGTAGAGAAACTTCCGACGAAGCCAAAAGTAAATACGAAAGAGCATGTGAATTATTGAAAGTCTGGAAATACCAATTGTTCACGCCGTTAGCGAGAATTACACAACACGGATTGGATATTATACGACTCAAAATTAGAAGGAGAGGGTTTGGAAAGAATACCAGAATGAGGAGGCAAATGAGAGATTGAGCGGCGGCAAGAATTGCGTCCACCGCTATGGCCTCCACAACAGAGGCGGTGTGCAGGCTCTTCTCCACCGTGCTGCGAGAAGATAACTCATCCATAATTGTAAACAAAATATTGAAAAATAAAAGGGGAAACGAAAACGCAACAAGAGAAGGGAAGAACAATCTGAGCGAGAGTGGAGAGAATTGGAGAGGTTACTGTGGAGTCTCTGGCTCTGACAGTGAGAGACCCGAAATGGGGAAAGAAGGAGTTGGGTCCGGTTAGGATAAACCCTGGTTGGTACAGTTAGGGTTTTTGACAACAAAAGTGCTGATGTCATCCCAAGGTAAATGAATACTTGCTTAGGGTTTATATTAGAGTAAAAATAAATCTTGCTTATATGATTGTTAAAATTCCAAGCCACTAAATTATATCAATTGATTCACATACTTATGGAAACTGAAATGAAATGTGATTAAAAGATTCCAATTAAATAACACATGTTAATTGATCAATTCAAAAACATCAATTAATATTCATTCAACAACACAAACCACGGTAAAAAAAAGAAGAAGAACAATTTGTATAAAAGGAAGGATAACAAAGGCATATTTTGTTTATTTGTTCTAAACAGACTTTAAATATATTTTAAACAAATAACAGATGTGTTAACAGGATGAACGATTGTAATTTAACTACAAGTTGTCATGCACAATAAATTCGGGGACCTTACAGTGATTACTAAAAATGATTTCTGAATAATTAATAAGGTAAAAAAATAAAATAACTTGTTGATATAGTTTAAGTAGATATATATAAAAAAAAAAAAAAAAAAAAGATGAGCTTGGTTAGGGAGAAAAATGGCTAAATATTTAGAGGGAAAGGAAGGGTGAATAAAATTAAGGTAGAGAGGGGAGGGAAGGAGTAAGAAAAAGAGGAGGGAATGGGAATATGAAGAGAAGAGAATCGAGTCAGAATGACACAAGTGGCGTGACCTGCTATCATCGTCACATCTATCAATAGACTCCTCTCTCTCATCAAATCTCAATTTTTATTATCTCTTTGATTCCTTTGTATCGTCCTGAGAGGGTCAACAGGGACGGCCATGACCCAAACCCTCTCTCTCCAACCTTCGCTCATCATCACCTTTGCGGAAAAACCCTAGAAATTAACCAACCAATTCTCTTTTCTCCATTCCCCGATTTTCTATAATTTTATTTCGGGTTCAATCGCCAACCCCTCCGTCGAAGTCAACGCGGGAACCCCTCAATCGGGTTTCGAAAATCTCGATCTATGTCATCCGAGATCGAGGTCGTCGAGGAGGTGCAATCGCGCGATGAGAAATCGGGCGGCGCCGATGGCGTGCCGGAGGAGAGCCTCCAGAACGACGTGTACACGGCGGCGGCCTACGGGGATTTGGAGAAGCTGCAGAGATTGGTGGAGCAAGAGGGTTGCCCCGTGACCGAGCCCGATGGGTTGGGTTACTACGCGCTTCAGTGGGCTGCACTCAACAATCGCACTGCCGCTGCTCAGTACATCATTGAGGTTCTTTGATCGGTTTGTTGAATTGCGTTTGCTTACTTTTGCTTCTCGAGCTTGTCGCGTGTTGTTACCCTTTCTTAGTGTTTTTTACTCCAACAAAAGAAAATAAAATGTGATAGTTAGTTACTGGTTGTTGTTGTTGTTTAAGGAGGGGTGCAGATGTACAAGATAATAGAATTTGATGATGATGATGATGATGAAAATGATGGTTATGTTTATGTTGTGGAAATAGGAATGTGGTGTTTGTTTGTGTTGGAATTGAATGTATGAATTGAAATTTCGCTTGATAAAAAATGTGGAATTATACCTTTTTTTCTTCTGTCGATGTGGCGTACGAAATTGAGTGGTTTTGTTTTTGGTTGGCAGCACGGGGGAGATGTACATGCTACGGATCATACTGGCCAGACCGCCCTACATTGGAGTGCGGTTCGGGGTGCTATCCAGGCTGCGGAGCTTTTACTTCAGGAGGGTGCACGAGTGAGTGCTGCCGACATGAATGGATATCAGGTTAGATTGATCTGAATCTTTTTCTCTTTATTAAAGTGATTGCTGGTGGGGTAAGGCAATTGAAGTATGTTGTGTAGCTCTTTTACCTGGTTGTCTGCATATGGTTACATACGTGAAATTGGTAGTTTGGGGTTCTTGTTTTACATGAAGCGCAAGTGTGCAGCTTTTAACGTTGATTTTATTAATTATGATTTACTTGGACACAGACAACGCATGTTGCTGCACAATTTGGTCAGACAGCTTTCCTTCACCACGTTGTTTCAAAATGGAATGCTGACCCTGATGTCCCTGATAATGATGGAAGAAGCCCTTTGCATTGGTAGTAAAAAATCTGCCACTCAACCTTTCTTTCTATTAAAATGAATGTTTTCACTTTACTTTTTGTTGCACACTTCTCTGTAGTCAGGCAGCCATATGAACAGATACACCGACAAATTATTTGTTGAGTATGTAACCTTTGGCATTATTTCTACTAATTTATGCCTTCTTTTCTCCAAGCAAACTGCAAGTGTCCTTGGTTTGTTCTTTTAAAGCACAACATAAACCAAAAAATGTATGTGGTAAAAGTCACTATCTAGGGAACTGAGGCCAATTAGCCCAAGTTGAAAATGAAAGGTTGGAAACTCTTTTTAAGCCTAATGGGTCTTACTTAATTGTTTTAAAAATGCTTGTTATGAACATCATCAAATTTTTCTTGGCACATTGTCAATGTAATATTACTCAGAATAAAGGATTATTTTGGAATTAGTAGGCCAAAAGACACATCAACTACTTCATTTCTGTTATATTTGTAGCCATGCTCATTATATCTGTCGATGGAATTCTCTCAATATTACATTGGTCATATCTTCATCCAAATTTACTTATATTTTTTTTGTTCCCCCTGATACAAAGTTGTACCGAGTTTTCCTCTGAAGTTTAATGTACAGTGTTACTAAATTAGTTTTCTCCGGGCTATTTATTCTGGTTGCCCATGCCTATTTTCCCTTCAAAAAAGATTTTGAACGGTTCTGCTTGAGTGAAATATTTATATAATTCTTCACTTTTAAGTAATTATGCTTTATACTTCCTTTCTCACTTGAATTTTAGGGCTGCTTACAAAGGTTTTGCCGATTGTATACGCCTTCTGTTATTTCTTGATGCACACAGGGGACGTCAAGATAAAGGGGGTATGTTTCAATGCTTCTGTTAAATGATAAATCTATCTATCATTTCAAAGCATTATTATAATTTTTATTTTCTTAATTTATTCAGGTTGCACTCCCCTTCATTGGGCTGCTATTAGGGGCAACTTGGAGGCCTGTACTGTGTTAGTACAGGCTGGCAAGAAGGATGATCTGATGCTAGCTGATAATACAGGGCTTACACCAGCACAACTTGCTTCTGATAAGAATCACAGACAAGTTGCTTTTTTCCTTGTAGGTGTTTTATAATCAACAGAGTTTGCTTTCAATATTTTCAAAGTTCTGTCCCCGCCCCCCCCCCCCAAAGTAATGTTGACACTGACTCTGGCTTATTCCTGAAAAGCATTTGTGTTCATTGAATTTATAGGATAGGTGCTTGAATTTATGTGTTTCCTTTACATCGAAGTGTCCTTTGAGTATTAATGTGCTTTGTCTACTCAGCATCCTTTCTTATTCTGTTGATTGACTTTTAGCAATGTTTTCTTCGGCCACAATACGTATTGACATCTGGATCGCTGATAATAATATATTTGAATTTCTTGTATTAAATATTCACATATCACAGCATCAACCTTTTTCATTTGAAGAGGTATTGTTTAGATAAGTGAGTGGACAACGGTTATTATGCCTTACAAAGTTTAGATGATTATTCGTATTTTCTTTTTTAATGTCTTGAAAACTAATTCAGATCTTTGAAAATCTAACTATCAAAATTATTGATAATACAAGTTGTATGGTGTTTTGACTCATATACCCTTTAAAAATATACAATCCTACTATTCTGGAACTTAGAAAGGTTTATTGCTTAGTGAAAATGTTGAATAAGAGAATATCTTTTCATCCTCCATGTACTTCATAATTGCTATATAATAAGATAATTGTGTGGGTATAATTGTCCGAGTTTGTAAAAAGTTAGTTACTTGATATCTTTGAGTGGTAGACATCTACATTTCTATTATGGCTTATTGATTCAAATTTGCTGCTTCAGACATACATTATACAAATATTTTTACCTAGATATGTTGAGTTGATTGTAGATTTACTGAATATTTTTGCTTTGCTATGTTCATATATTGACCAATTATGGATATTGTGTAGGGAAATGCCCGAAGGCTGCTTGACAAACGCTGTGACGGGAACAGCCGCCTTGGAAGAATTTCCAAATTAGGACTTGCGCCTGTCCTTTGGTGCATAATTTTTGTGCTCTTGGTTACTTATATTCATTCGGTCATCTTGGGTATCTATCTTGGCTTTCACATATGGAATGAATTATGTCTGCATGTGAGCACTTGCATGCATAATTATTCCTTTATTTTGATGGTTGTCTCACTATCATTTGTATCTTACTTTTCTCGAGCAGCAACAAAAATGCCAAAGCTGACGGCTGCAGGTAGTCTTCTTGCATGGTTTGGAGTTTTGCTTGCAACTGTTGGTTTGGTGATGTTTTACAAATGTAGCAGGTAAGTGATGTGGGCTTAAACTTTACAGCTTCTCAAGAATACCCTCTAGGCCAGTATATGTACAAAAGGACAATATCTTACTTCAAGAGACTTCTCTTGGATTTTTTAACTGCTGTTATGTAAAATGTCTATTTATTTGGATGAGGATTATTGGTGGTTTAAAATTGTGCAAAGTATTGTTCAATTGCTCTGGTGCTTCTAGTCCCGCTTTTCCATTGTGCATACGAACTGTGTAGAGGATAAATAAAGGGAAATGTTAAGTGTAAACCATAGGATACGTGTGGGATGTATGAGAGGAGTGTTTAAGGTGTTATATGTGACATTAAGGTACAAATACAACTATAAGACCTGCAATGTTATATTGGGTGGGTAGTAACAAGACAACAGGAAAAAAAAATCACTGTGGTAGAGATCATAATGATGCATTGAGTGAGTGGACATAGCAGATAATATAGGATTGAGAATGAATAAATCTTGCCTTAGGTGGTTTTGATACATGTGGAGGAAGAATGGTAGCCCTGATGCTAGAGGCAGATTGGGATAAAGAAAAACCAACATTGGTAAAACTACTAAGAATTATATGTCTATAGTTTGTACTCTTTAGACATGATTTACGACAAAACATTTTTGTTTGAACCATGTAGCAGATCCTGGTTGAGAGAAGACTTGGTTGCTTTACCAGAATCCAGATTAATAAAGACTATTATGTGTTATTTTATGGTACAACTATGTCTAATTTAAGAATCTCTTTCCTTGCCACCCTGGGATAGCTAGATAACTCGGTCAAAGGTTTCACAAGTATGGCTGTAATCTGTCTATTATCAATAATACTATTCACTGATGCCAGCTTCTTGGTGTATATTCTGAGTAGCTTCCTTGTTTAGTGTAGTGAAAGTTCTTATAAATTTATGGTTTAATGTCTAGTGGAGCTTCTCAACAACTCTGTTCTTAAACTTTGTGTTTGAGCTCTCAAGATAACAAATCAATGGCATTCAATCTAGGGCGGTATTAGTTTGTAACATGTGGTGATCAATACATGATAAATGTACTACACCCATAAATAACTTGCACTGTCTATCGTATTTCATTTTCACTTTCTCATTCAGTGCATATCTAGTCTCAAATTGTTTTTAGATTCTTGCCATCTTCTATTAAAACACTTTTCATTAGTTTTATTATTTTTCTTACTCTCTCTTTTCCCCTCATGCAGCAAGGATCCTGGTTATATCAGAATGAATATGCGTGACAACCAGGATTCAAAAGATGATGTGAGTATTTTTTTCTGCCACCTAATCTCTACTTCAATTCTTGTCAACATCTCCCTGAGATTTTATATTGTATAGTATATGGCATTGACTTAAAGGGATTGAATGATTGTGGCAGGAGCCTCTTTTGAAGACTGAGATAAATAATCCTGCTTTGCTAGCTGGAAACTGGTCCCAGCTTTGTGCAACATGCAAGGTTCTCTTTGCTTTATTTTGATTGTCTCTTTACTCTGAAGCCCATCATTCTTGTGAAAACAGATTGCAATTATAGCCATCTTCCAATGGTTTTAATGATTTCTAACAATTTCATGTTGCCTTTTCTTTAGATTGTCAGACCTCTTCGAGCAAAACACTGCTCTACCTGTGATCGTTGTGTGGAACAATTTGATCATCATTGCCCCTGGGTGTCCAATTGCATTGGCAAGGTAATTCTGGATGAATTTTTGTTTTGCCATGCTTTGTATTTGACTGCTAATTCAATATTTCAGGCTTTTCAATTTATCTTTATATTTTAATGGAAAGACAAAGGGGTATTGGTGTGGGACAATTAGTTATTTTCTTTCCTCTACCCTATGCATGGAGCATACCACCTTGTGAAACTCAAACATGTCATGCCATGATGTATTAGTAAAAGCACCTCTTAGTACCAAAGAAGACTCTCTATTTGGCTATCTACGTTACACATGAGGATTTTTATAGTGTGATCAGTTTAGCTTGATTGGTCTTCTAGTGATTGTTTAGTTTAAATCTTGTGTTATAACTACAAATAAAATATATCTACTTTATCTAAGTTTGTTCATAAAAATAATAGTATGTCATTTATATCGTGTAGATTTTAATTGTGGGATAGACTAGACTATTAATCTTGTCACACTTTTTTGTTCAGTTATGATAATGGATACTAATCCTACTCACTCTAATTTTTTTTTTCTCATTATCATTAATTTTGATTGAGCAATTATTCTTTTTTCTAGCTGATTGAACTGATCTGATATAACCTGATTTCGTTACACTTTGTGACTGCAGAAGAACAAAAGGGATTTCATTGTTTTTCTTATTCTAGAAGTTTCAGCAATGTTGGTTACTGGTGGAGTTTGTCTTACAAGTACTTGTCTGCTTAGACATTGAGTTACTGAGTTATGTTTGTCAATTTACTGCTATGTAAACTTTAAGTTGAAAACTAAATTTCTTCATGCAGGAGTGTTGACTGATCCACTTGCACCTAGTTCGTTTGGGGCATGGATTCAGTACATTGGTAAGAATCACACTGGTGCAATATCATTTCTGATAGCCGACTTTTTCCTCTTTTTCGGTGTGTTTGCTTTGACAGTTGTGCAGGCTAGCCAGGTATGATTTTGGAAAGTCTTAATTTTTTTTTATGTTGTATAAGAAATTCTCTCCTAATCTGATGTTTTATGTTGTTGTTTACATTTCCTTTGGATCTCCAGATATCTCGCAATATTACAGCAAATGAAATGGCAAATGCCATGCGGTATAGTTACCTCAGAGGTCCAGGTGGTAGATTTAGAAACCCATATGATCATGGTATCAAGAAGAACTGTTCTGATTTTTTGATTAAGGGTTACAATGAAGATATTGAGTGCATAGAAGAATTAGGTCAGTCAGAGGAGGGTGTAGGAATGATGAACATATCAAGAAGCTCTAACATGGCAAATGGAGACTCGCATACCCATTCTGAATATGCAAGGGGCAACGGAAATTATGTTATTAATGTGAATTCCAACAGTACCAACTCTAAAACACATAATGGTCATGTTCATTCTTCTCATTGTAGCCATAATAACCATGGCAAAACCAGAAACGAAAACGTTCCCTTGGGCTTAGGTCTAGGCCTTGGAAGGAATGGCAGATCTGTTACACCCTCATCGTGATATTTACATGTCAATGTATCATAGGCACGCATCTCTGAGTCTGGGTTTGTTTTCATTAATTCAAATTATTGTGGCTCTTGTCTATCACACCCCATGTGCAATTTTGTGCTGTTACTCATAGTCATCCTCTTCTCCAATTTTCTTTCTACTTCTGTATCTAATTTAAAAGTATAGCCTTGTAAGCTATATATGAAATTTGAATGTATTCGTCAGAAGCTTATTTTTTTTTCTCCCCATTCTTGCATTTTTTTAATTAAAATTGTTAATATTTTTTATTTAGCCCATTATGTTTGTAATTTTATAAAAATTTAATAGTGATAGAGAATAAAACAAATTACTCTTACACTAGCTTTATCAAATTTAATTTTAAAAAAATTTGTTTTATATTTTGAATTTTAACTTTAACAAATAAATGTATTATTATTTGTTTCATTGGTTTTGTTTTCTTATGTGATGCGTTGAACGAGCAATTTTACTCTGAATGAAATAAAAATAATCAATATAAAATAATACATCATTTTAAAATTAATTAAAAAATATAAATTAGATGATAATGTCTCTATAACATTAAATCTTAATTCGTATCATATAATTTAAATTTATTCTCATAAATAACATTTTAGTAGAATGTTCTTTAACCTAGATTAAAAGTTAAAATTATATCATTCAATATATTTGTATTATAGATACTAGTATGACGAGTTATATATTTTCATTTCTAACATATACTTGATTTATAAAAATATAATAATTATGAATTATAACATTTTATTTGATTTTTATATAATAACAATTATTTTATTAAATTTTTAATTATTATTATTAAAGAAGTAAAAAATGTGCACGTTAGAATCTTTATACTCGTAAACTTCTCTTAAATAAAATTTGGATAATAAATAGGTAAATTGTTTTACTAGGACGTGACATAAAATTAATATTTTTTTATAATGATAATTAAAATTTAATATAATAATAATAATATTTAAAAATCAAATAAAAGAATTAATTGTATTGTATAATTATTATATAAAAATATATTTTACTTTTAAAATTATTAAGGCTATTTCATATTTTAGAATAAACTTTTATAATTTAATACAAAATAATCAAATTATAATAATTGTTACTTAATATGATTTATTTTAAGTTTTAAAAATATAGAAATCCTATTAGAAAATTAAAATATATTTAGTTTAAATTTGAAATAAAGAAGTCACTAATATCACTAATATACCAAAATTTTCATTGAACATTTTATTTTGCTTCATGTTTCCTGTGTATACACCTTTTCTGGTCATTATATTATGATGAGATATATGAAGATATGGACAATATTGTATAAGAAATATGAATAATATAAATATTTTATATTTATTTTATGTTTTTTGGTCTTTATAACTCTGTTGTCTTTGTGGGTAAGATAATAAGTGATGAAATATGTTTCAAGTTAAAAGAAAATTTTAATCAAATGAATGACAAATTAAAATATTGTTCAATAAAATTTTATTAAAATAAAAAATTCATGAAATCATATACATACTTCTATCTACAAACTAAATTTGATTTAAAGGTTATTTAGTAATTTCTTATACAGCACGGATTTAAAATATTACAACACCTTGTAATACAATATGAATTAAAAATGTTACAACACGTCGTACATATATTATGATCTTATATTACAATAATATTATTATATGTTTTGTATTTATTCAAATATTTTATTTATTAAACTCAAAAAATTGTCTTATAATTTTATGTTTTCCCAAGGAAATAGTTTTGTATTAAAAAATTGACTTCACTGGTTTGATAATACATGGACTCTGTTTAATTTATATCTACAACAACACTTATCATTTTTAAAAATAGTTTTAATTTTAAAATATACAAATTATTTGATAACTTGTTAAAATAATTTTGATTTTGATTTTATTTTTTAAGTTAAAAAAAATAGAAGCTGAAATTAATAAAAAATATTTTTTTCATTAATAATATTCACGTAAATTACATTAACTTTATGTGTAATCTTATTATTAAGTTATTAAAAAAATTATTAATTTTTTATTACTTTTAAATATATTTCTTATATAATTTTAAATCAAATCATAAATATATTTATTTGATTTTTTAAAAATTAAACTATATTTTTGTCTTTGGTAACTATAAATTAACTATCTAAATTACTTTAAAATTATGTATACAGACAATAATTTTTTCATAAAGTAATATTTGATTTCACTTATTCAAAAATTAATTTTCTTCATGTCAAAAATAGGATTAACAATATTTTAGATAAGTATTATAAATAATAAAAACTAGTTGAAAATTTTCTATTTAAAGATATGTTTAAAAGGTTTATGTATAAAGAGATAAAAAAAATAATTTATATAATCAAGTTAACTTATATAAATTAACTTATTAAATTTTTGCATATATTTTATTATTTTTTAAATTTTTATGTAAGTCCATTTTAATGTACGAAGAAATAATTTCATTCATTTTTATATTGTTCTCTTAATATTTTCTGTAACATGGCTTTATTAAAAAAAATATTATGCGACAACAAATTATAATTAATTTTGATTTGAAAACAACTTCAGATATTTTATTAAAATAAAATGGGATGTCAATATATAACATTTTATTGTAGTGAGCCACACTAGTCGAGGAAAAAGACAATGGAAGGTAAAGGGTCATTGTTTTCATGTGTGAAAGGATATATTTGAGGATATTTATCTGCAGTGACATAGATATTTTTGGTCCATTAATTAAAATTAGATACTTATTTTCATAACATCGTTAATAAAAAAATTCCACCTATGTCAAACAAATAAAACTTTAATTTTAATAAAAATTACATATTTTAATTGTGACAGAAAAATGAACTCACACTTTTAAAAAAATATCACATTAAAATGTGATGAAGTATTAAAGGTAGGTCCCACACAAGTACTATAAAAGTAGGTCCCACATGTATTAGTATAGTGGGTCATTTGTTTATTTTTTTTTTCATTTCTTTTTAAATTATACTTAGACACATGATTTTACAAAATACACCTATTACATTAAATGTAGTTGTTTAACTGTGTATTTTGTAAATTCCCTTGGGTTTAACCCAAATGTTCATGTATAATTTTTCTTTTTTTAAGTACAAAAATAAAAAGTATTACTATTTAGAAATAATACATTGAAACAGATTTTTTAAATAATATGTTTTTTTATTACACCCATTCTTAATGATTAAGATCGATTATGATTATTGTTAATTATTTGAGATAAAGTTTAGTGATTTTTGTGGTGAGTGCATAACTGATCTTACAAGTTATAGCCAAGTGTGTAAACGTGTTCATTCACAAATTAATAATTTATTTGAAGTTTAGTTTAATGTGATTTGAAGCACTGGAGTGTGAAGGTGGCTTTTGATTTTGTTCTACTCCAGCAAGTATTATTAAATATTTAAGTCTAACTCATCAATTTTTTTATGTTTAAAATATATTTAATTAATTTTAATAGATTTAATTCAAATCTAAATCTATATTTTAAATTTTAAACTCAGTATAATTAATTAGATTTAGATATTTATGTTTGATGTATTTAAATTTTAGTTTATAATGATTTTTTACCAATGAATCCTTAGAAAAAAATATAAATTATTAAATATGTGAGTTAAGAAAAAAAATAGAAATTATTTTTAAGGTTTATAAACATAGTAGAGTGATATATTTTTTTATCTTAACATTTGAAATAAATATTTATTTTAAAAATATTATGTCAAAATATTTTTTTTATTAATTTTAACTTTTATTTTGAACCGTTGGAAACATTTTCGACTTAAAGTGTGATTTCTTTGAATTAATAAACATATCTGCATTGTTATTATTATTTTATCTCTAGTAAGATTTTACTGGGTAATACCGTGATATTTTCAGCTCCAAATCTGTGATTGATTTGCTTTAAAAAAAACTATTAATGGGATTGAAGAACAATAAAACTATTATTTATTCATACTATAAATAAAGGAAATGAATAAAAGAAAAGGAAAAATCATAATGAAACCTATTTTTCATGTGAATAAAGACAGTGAGACACATTTTGTTTGTTAAATGATTGTGAATTATATATTGTTAAAAAAATAGGTGAAAATATGATTGGGATATATGGTAAGAAAAGGCAAGAAAGAGGAAGAAGGTTTGGAGGAATGATCCAATAGAAGAGAGGAGAGTGTGAGAGAGCGGAAGGGGCGGACGTGGGACCCGCATGCATGAGTATGACCCCACTCTTCTCCTCCTATTCTTATCTCTACACTCTCTCTCACTCCGCTCCTACTGCCACGTGTCCTCCCATCACCTCTCTTTTCTCTGCTTCACTTCCCCACTCTTCTCTTCTCTTCACACACACCCCAACCAACCCCATTTCCTCTCCACTTCATCTCTCTCAATCAAGATCTTCCTCATATCGCCATTTCCAAACTCCATCTTCTCTCTATCTTTCTGTTTCCAAGGTTCCTCATCAAACCTAACAACCACCGTCACTTTATTTATTTATTTATTTACTTTTTTTCGCTTAATCCATGTTTTTTTTTTTCAATTTCCCGCTTGCAGTAGTGCTTGATCAATGAATAAACCTTAAAATAATTAAATTATAATGGAAGCAATCTCATCGGAGGAATCATCTTCGTCGTTTTAAGCACTTGGTGGTCACTGTAGTAGTACCGTATAAATTATGTTTTAAAATTTTTTCAACTGTCTCGATCAACGTTTTTATTTTTTGGTATATTAGTGTCGTGTGGGTTAGCTATTCTGTTTGTTGGATATTAATTGTGGTATAGATGCTTGATTAGTTCTGCAATGATCTTTTCCCCCCTAAACCTGAACTATGGATAGTCTGATAGAGTTGTTTTATTTATTTTATTTGTTTCTTCATGCAGTTCAGCCTAACTGATCGTTAAATTGGGATGGGAGCTTGAGTTTCTTTGGCACATTCCATATCCGTATATGATCAAAGGGTATTATCTATCGGCAATTAAGTGATGGGGGGTATCTGCTCTAGGAAGAGAGATCAACAAGTGGTGGAAGATGGTTTACACACAGGAGTCTCTGGAAGGTATTGTAGAAATGGTAGCATAAAATGGTCGAGGGCCAGAAGTTTCCGTTCCAAGGCCAATCATTGTCCCGGAGGGGGAACCTGTCCCTCCCTCATGGATTTGTGCATAAATAGGATACGTAAGGTGCATGTTTTTGCCACCTTGGTCGCTTTTCTTTTGTTATTTATGCCCTCACATGGTTACTTGATTCACATGTTTTGAGTTATAACAGGATTTTCATAAATACAATTCCTTTTCTATTCTTCCAAGAGACATAAGCCAGCAAATCTTCAATGAATTGGTCGACTCTCACTGCCTGACAGAAGCTTCTATTGAAGCTTTCCGAGATTGTGCTCTTCAGGTACTGTTTTAGAGGCGTGGTGAAATTGGAAGTGTTGCCTTGATCCTACTTATCTGCTTACAAATTTCTGTTACAAAGATGACCACCCTACTTATATGCTTTCTTTTCTTCCTGGCAGGATATTGACCTGGGTGAATATGGTGGAGTGCACGATAGTTGGATGGATGTCATCTCTTCCCAAGGGTTGTCTTTACTTTCAGTTGATGTTTCTGGTTCTCAGGTGACAGATAATGGACTGCGACTCCTAAAGGATTGCTCAAATCTTCAAGCATTGACTCTCAATCACTGTGATCAATTTTCAGAATATGGGCTCAAGCATATTAGTGGTAGAGTTACTGTTCTTATGATCAGTTTTTTTCTGACCAGAAAACGTCTATTATTTGATGAACATATGAATATCATACAAATGATTCAAAATTAGTTATGTAAATTTTCTCCCTCCCTCCTTTATTTTTTGTGTCATTGCTTGTGGTATACTGTGCAGAATTATTTTTTGATTAACTAATAATTGCTGTAAAAGAGATGTAAATAATGAAATTCAATTTTTAAATGAAACCCTAATTGAATAATATTTATAATTGGAATTATGCGCAATGCATTGGATGACAACATTATTTGTTCTGAATCTTCTGATAGCAAAGTTATTAGGTTTGCTGCAAAGGTTAAAGAGTCCTGTCTGACTAAGATAAACAATCAATAATGACAATATTTTCTGTAGGTCTTTCAAACTTGAATTCCTTGAGTATCAGGAAAAGCAGCAGTGTCAAGCCTGACGGAATGCGTGCTTTCTCCAACTTATTTAATTTGGAGAAGTTGGACCTTGAGAGGTGTTCAGAGATTCATGGTGGATTTGTTCATCTCAAAGGTTGCTATCCTTGATTCATGCTCATGTATATGCAAGAAGTTAACTTATTCCTAATGTAATTGATATTTTATACCCAATCCCACATGACTTTAAAGTTAACGTGATGATGATTTTCATCATTATTGGTTCATGGGGCTTGAGGGCTCTGTTTGCTGTTGCTTAATGGTGGTGATTGGTTCTACTTCATTAAGTCTTCTATTTTTGTTTTCTTTTGGGGTTTACAAAATGTATTCAGGTGGACGGGAGCTTGCCTTGGGCCATTAGTTAAGGCCTGGCAATGGAGGACTACCAACAGGAATTGATCCCTGGACCTTTGAGTCAAGGCTGTTTGATCCTACAAATTAAGCTTCATTAGCTACCTTAAGGGGCTCATTATTTAGAAATTATCAAATGCTATCCTGCTTAGAATGCCCTTCTAGACTTAATGATGAAATTAATAGGTTATATATTTAATTCGTTTCAATAATACAGGTTTGAAGAAGCTTGAGTATCTCAATATTGGATGCTGTAAATGTGTTACGGATTCAGACATGAAGTCTATCTCAGGTATTGATCATAAGATGATATGATTTTTGTTTTAGTTATGCATTTCAGGTTTATTTATGTTTAAAGGCCGTATTATTGCATCTCTGGATTTGTGTCTCATTCATGTGTATCTCATTATCTGAACTCAGCTTTTGTATGACATTGTCATCCAGTGTCTTACTTGCGTTGATTCTCATCCCTAGTTAGCAAATAACCAAAAACTGGGTGGGGAAAATTGTTCTCTAAATTTGACTTTATATTTTGTTCTCGTGCTTTCTTTCTCATCACCCCACTAGTAAGCCCCCTTAAAGCTATCATGAGTGGAACACCAAAAGAGTAGCCATAAACAAATGTCTATATATTGTATGTCTGCCTGTTCAGTGATTAAGAAATGCACACGTAAATGTGGTATTTTGCTTAAACAAATACACCAGACAACCTTCTAATTGCACATGCCACAATATTTCTTTCAAAACATTTGGTTTAGGCTGCTTGAAACTTTAACTCCAAGGGCTTGGTTGAATGGGACTTCTCAAGGTTTTGCATTTGACTAGTTCCTGGTTTAATCCTCCATTTGTCTCCTTAGGTAGAGGTATATGTAAATCTTTACAAGGGCTGAGTTAGAAAACTTTCTGTCTTGAATTGGGGGAATTTCTTGTTGAAAAAACAAAAGAACCTTCTACAAACTTTGTTTTGTCGTTGGTAAGTGTGGATGCATGCAAAATTATCTGCTGAAAAATACTATCCTTCACCAATACATAACTTCCACATAGGGATAACAATTGCACCCAAACCAAGTGGGTACATGCAAAATACACCCATGAGTTTATACTGAAACATGTGGTTTTGCAACTTAAATCAAATTGCTTCATTTATCATCATTTCTTTCTTACCTTTAGAATCAGGAAGCTAGGTCATGTTATTTCTGAGCTAAATATTGGCGTATAATGTTTCAGAGCTTATAAATTTGAAGGAGTTACAAATTTCCAACAGCAGCATTACTGATATTGGGATTACTTATTTAAGAGGTATTTTTTTAGTGTTTGTCATCCATTACAAGTGTCTCAAGACACCATAACTGCCGCAGCTATTTTGCACTCATGAGCATATCTCTAGTTCTCAAATGAAAATATCATAGTAATTACTATCATCAAATAGAGTTATAGTGTACTGAATAAGTTCAAGCGTAGTTTTATTCTGTTTTCTGCATTATACGTTACCTGGTTATTTCTTCTGGATTTCTGGGTTAACAGGTTTGGGGAAGCTTACTACATTAAATGTTGAAGGATGCAATATTACTGCTTCATGTATAGAGTCTATTCATGGTATCAATTCTCAAATTATTCTTTAAACTACCATTTCATTTTATTTTATTTTTTAAATTTAGACATCTGTTTTGTTTTCTGGAAGTTACTCTGCAATGCGTGAGCTTTCTGACATTATTATTTGAAAAATTAAGGACTTGATTAATCTAGTCCGCAATCAAGTGGTTGCCAAAGTAGCAAAGACTATGTTTGAACTTGGAAAACTCATTTTCTTATTATTCTAATGCCTAAATGCTCCTAGTTAGTTCTTTAACTCATAATATTTTTTGGTACAGCCTTGACTTCCTTGGCATGCTTAAATCTCAACAGATGTGGTCTCTCTGATGATGGATTTGAGAAAATTTCTGGTAATTTTGATATAAAGTGGCCAAGTTTGGGGACTTCTTGTGTCATGTTCTGTCTTACTTATTGCTCTATGGATGTCATATCATTGAATCCTTGGTTTTAATGCATGCACTCCTTTTCCTGCAGGTCTTAAAAGCTTGAAGCATTTAAGCCTGGCTTTTAATGGGATCACAGATGCATCTTTAGTTCATCTGAAAGGTACGTAAAACATAGTTGTTTCTGTGGATTTGTATCTTAAACTTCTCTTCCCTTTTCAAATATTTTAAACGCCATTGAGTTAGACTTTTCCCTGTGTTTTACTTTCAATTATTTTATATTAGCATTATAAAGTGATCTTCAAGCTTATTTTCTATCTGCAAAATATTGTTACAAACCAAAAGGAGAGGTGGGAAACCTTTTCCATGTTATAAATTTTCCTAAAGAGTCCTTCAAACACTGATAAATGGAAAATGAATTAATTTAATTTTGAAGTAAATGTATTGTAAATAAAGGAAGTATAAAAGTCTCAGGTTAGCCTCAAATATTTCTTTTCATTATTCATAGAAAATCATTCTAGCTATAAATGTGTGGTACATAAGTTTTATTGTTAATAGTACCTGCACAGCATCTGTTTTTGGATGATATCCTGTCGTTCTCCCATATTTTAATTACTAATCACACTCCCTTCTCTCTAAGTTATATGAAAGGGCACATGAAACTGAAAAATTAGAAAGCACCCATAAATGATTAGGTGCATAATATTAATACTCATCAAATTTTCCAAAAAAACTTGTCTATTTGATCTCTAAAACCTACTGACCCTCAACATTATTAAGTGCTTGTGCGATGACAACAACTAGTTTCATACTCCACAAGTTGGGTCATTAATGTTACTGGGACATTGACTATCATGAATTATCTTGCATACAATTTATTCACTGTTCTACTTTTTCCAACTATTCTATTTATCATTAAATATTTTTTCTTTTTACAGGTTTAACAAATTTGGAGTACTTGAATCTGGATTCTTGCAGGATAAGTGATGATGGGCTTGCTAATTTGTCAGGTTTGCTTATTTTCCCATTTTTAGATTTAAATGGTCAATTACATTGTTAAAAGTTTGAATAGATTTTTTATTTCTAAATTTTCTTGATCTGGGGATATGGCACGAGGCATTGAGGCTTTATATATATACCTTTATATTTTCAGCTGAATGGTTGAATGGCATACTTTGATGATTCAAATCCAACTATCTTATAAGACAATAAAAATTGAGATGGAATAGAGCCTTGTGAAACTTGGCATATTCCTACTTGAATATTTGTATTGCATTTATATAATTATAATGGGAATTTAAGCCAGCATTTAGCCATGGCATTCTGTTTAGAATGTGAATTTAAATGTTCGGGTCACTGGGGATTTTAATTCAGTTTTGCTTAATTTTTCTTTTAATTTACTTAATTTGTTCTATCATAATGCTTGCGGGGGGGGGGATCCCGATTATTAAAGTATGAGATTTTTAGGAATCAAATAATTTCATAAATTATTAGTTATTTGTTCTTTCAGGCCTCATACTCTTGAAAGGTCTGGTGTTGTCTGACACAGACATTGGGAGCAGCGGGCTACGCTATATATCAGGTTGGTGGATACAATCCTGTATATGGTTTTCAAATAAAAATATAAACTCAATAACTATTGAGTTTGTTAGCAGACGAATTGAAGTGTGATTATTGACATATATTTGTTGGTAATGCTATGTTTATGAGGTATTCTATATATCATAGCACCTTATTTAGTTTGCATATCAGCTTCTAGTAAGCAAATTGACATTGTATTCTTTAATATACCATTATTGCATTAAATCCGAAGCTGTCTTGGAATGTGATCTTAGACTGTTGTGTCATCCATTGGAAGGTAAATTTCAGAAATCCCTTCTGAGTTACCCAAATATAAGTGATTTTTTTTCTTCAAATTTAAATTACGTGTTACCGATCTTGCCCTGCAGGGCTAAGATGAGGTTGCTGTTTGTGAGATTTTCATTTGATTCAAAACATTATATGGTTTGAGGACTTGTTTCCTTAAAACTAGACACTGCCAAAATATGAAATTTACCTGTTTTTGTAGGTGTTTTGTGGTTACATCTACAAATGCACGCTCATACATATGTGGTTCTTGCATTTATCCAGGTTTAAATAAACTGGAAGATTTAAATCTGTCGTTCACCACAGTAACTGATAGTGGCCTGAAAAGGCTGTCGAGATTGACACAACTTAAATCACTTAATCTGGATGCCCGACTGGTTACTGACATTGGACTTTCAAATCTTATCAGTAAGCATGTTCACTTTCATTGATAGACTACTTTTTTCTTCTTCTTTGGGATAACTATACATTTATCCCTCTAGTTTAGATTTTGTGATTTTAGTTTCCCAAGACTTATCCAAACAAATTAAGTCCTTCTAATTCTATGACCTAAAATGCTCAAAATCTTATTTTTCTATTGCAATAGTTGGGGATTTGATGGATTTAGGATATGAAATATTTAAACTTTTGATGTCTGAAATTTAGTGGAAATTTGGTTAACATAACATTTAGTAATGGGTGATATTAGGGTTTGAAGACGTAAAAGTTGTATTTTTTTTTTCTTTTGGTGAAATTTGATATTTTAGCTGGCAGAGTTTGGAGCAAAAGAATGCTGGAAATGATTTATTTGATTTATCTGGTCAAGATTTTGAAAGTTTTAAGTAAAAGGAAATTGACAGAGGTACTTAAATGACATAATTTAAAAAATTGTAGATTAAGTTATTGGAGGACCAAATCCACACATTAGCTATAGTAGAGGAACTAAAAGACAACTGTATATTTTTTAACTCCTTTTTGTGTGGATTCACCCGAGATAAGCTTTCAAATCAATGCTTTTGTCATATGTAACAGTTTTGTGTATTCATCGAGGGTACTAGTTCCTAGTGGTGAGTAATCATCAATGTTAAATCTTGTCAAGGTGTAATTCTTCTACTTAAAGGGACGGGGAAGGTAATCAATGTGTTGATAAACCTGCTGACATTGGCACTAGGTCTCAGGATTATACATGGTGGGATAATGTTCCTAGTTTTATTCGTCCTGGGTTTTTCAGGAACAGATTTGATTTACCTTTCTCTAGGATTAGGGATTCATTGTGGGTTTGGTGTGGTTTCCCCACTTTATTTTGAGTTATATATATGATATGATATGATATGATATCCTAAAGTGCTGCATATGCTTGGTGTTGTTTGTGGTTCCAACTTTGATGTAAAAATAAAGTAAGGTGCAGAATTGTAAGAAGATAAGGTGCAGAATTTTAAGCAATAAAGTAAGCAAACCCAAGGAAAATTCCCACTGGACATTAAGATAGTTGCCTATCTAGATGTGAAGGTTCATTTCCAAGGATTATGGAGGGAGAAAGAGATGGAATGAAACTAGAAACGAATAAAGACAAGGGCTGGAAAATTGGACCAGCCCCTTGCATAAATAAATGAAGGGAAGAAATAAAGAAGAAAAGAGGAAGAGAAAAGAATTATGGTGGTGGTGGAGTGTTGGCACGCCACTAGGGGGATGAGCCACCCTAGATAAGTGGTGGTTGCCGCCACTTGAACCAAGGTTCAAGATAAGACACTCAAAGAGATGGAACACTCTAAGAAACCTCACAAACTTTTCATAAATGTTCAACCTAATTACATGAGGGGAAGCCTCTATTTATAGGCTTTTAGGGGAGGGACCTAGATGGAATTATAAAAGGAGACATAAACTTAACCTAAACCTAAAGGCTAGAGTCCCCATGGTCCAAATATGTTAAATTCGTTCTAGCCCACCAAAAATACCTCTAAGGGTGTGGAGAACATGAAAAAAGAGGTGTGTTTCCTTTTGGGTTGTCCCAAGCCAACCAATCCCGCATCCTAAGCTTCTTCCTCTCCAAAAAGGGGTGTAGGACATGAAAAAGGAGTGTCCTACACCTTTGGGCTGCCCATGCATGTATCCTATGGATCCAAGGCTTCTTTTCCACCAAAAAAAAGGTGGTATTCTTCAAAAAGGAGGTGCAAAAAGTGAGCCTACAAAAAGAAAGCGAAAATAAGTGAAAAACTTAGAAAAAGAAAATACTAAGTAAAGATACTAAGTAAATTCAAAATGGAAGGTAAAGAGGAGGCCTCCCTTCTAGTCATGCTTCTAGTAATCCTCCTAGGAATGATCTCTCCCGCCTCCGGGGCAACTAGGGACTCATCATCCTCTCCTCCCTGGAGAGAATTCGTCCACGAATTTGCAAAACCTGCATCAAAAGGAGTAAGATCACCAACATTAAAAAAGTTACTAATGTTATATTCGAGTTGGTAGATCTAACTCATATGCATTATTGTTTATTTTCCTAACTATTTGGAAAGGTCCGTCACCTCGGGGTTAAGTTTGGACTTCCTTTGAGTCGGGAACCGCTCCTTTCTCAAGTGAAGCCATACCCAATCTCCAGGTTGGAAGATGACTTCCTTTCTTCCCTTATTGACATACTTGCTATACTCGACCTACTTTCCTCTCGATGTTGGCTTTAACTCGGGCATGCAGGTCCTTAATGATCTTAGATTTTTCTAGACCATCTTGGCTAGTCCAAGCTTCATGGGTAGGTAGAGGAAGGAGGTCTAAAGGTGTTAAGGGATTAAATCCATAAACGACCTCAAAAGGAGAGTGGGAGGTAGTGGAATGAACCACCCGGTTATATGCAAACTCTACATGGGGAATTATGTTCTCCCACTCTTTGGGGTTCCTAGAAATCATGCATCTTAATAGTTGAGACAAAGTTCTATTCACTACTTCGTTTGACCATCTGTTTGTGGGTGGCAAGTGGTTGAAAAAAGGAGTTTAGTTCCAAGTTTTCCCCATAGTGTCCTCCGTAAGTGACTCAAGAACTTAGTATCTCTATCGGATACAATTGTCCTAGGTATCCCATGCAATCTAACAACTTCTCTAAAGAAGAGATTTGCAACTAGGCATGCATCGTCCGTCTTGTGGCAGGGGATAAAATGGGCCATTTTTGAAAATCGATCCACTACCACGAAGATGGAATCCATTCCTCGCTTTGTCCTTGGAAGCCCAAGTACAAAATCCATGGATATGTCTACCCAAGGTGAAGTAGGAATGGGCAAAGGGGTGTAAAGTCCATGAGGTTGGGCCCTAGACTTGGCTTTCTTACATGCAATGCAGTTTTCACAAAATTTTTCAACATGTCTCTTCATGTGTGGCCGGTAAAAGTGTTCACTAAGGATTTCTAAAGTCTTAGACACCCCAAAATGTCCCATTAAACCACCCTCATGAGACTCCTTGACAAGTGAAGCCCTTAAGGACCCCCGGGGTACACAAATCCTTTTTCCTTTGAAAAGATAGTCTTTGTGAATGTAAAAATCCTTATGACCCCCTTTAGGCATTCACTATAAATCTTGGAAAAGTCATCATCTCTAGGATATAGTTCCCGAATATGATCAAAGCTTAAAAATTTTGTTTCTAAAAGGCTTAACAAAGTATGTCTCCTTGATAGAGCATCGACCACTATGTTACTCCTCCCTTGCTTGTGTTTGATTACATAAGGAAATTGCTCAATGAACTCTACCCACCTAGCATGTCTCTTGCTAAGTTTACTTTGACCTTTCAAAAATTTAAGGGATTCATGATCACTATGGACCACAAACTCCTTTGGAAGAAGATAATGTTGCCAAGTTTGTAAAGCCCTAACAAGAGCATATAACTCTTTGTCATAGGTGGAGTAATTGAGATGACTCCCTTTCAGCTTCTCATCGAAGTAAGCTATGGGGTGGCCTTCCTGAAGCAAGACTGCCCCAATGCCTATATTTGAAGCATCACACTCAACCTCAAATGACTTGGTGAAGTTTGGAAGGGCTAGGAGTGGTGCATTGATCAATTTTTCTTTAAGTGTTTGAAAAGCATTTTCTTGATCCTTGCCCCATTGAAAACCCACAACCTTTTTCACTATTTCATTCAAGGGGGCTGCAATTGTACTAAAATCTTTAACAAATCTTCTATAGAAACTAGCCAACCCATGAAAACTCCTCACTTCACTCACATTTGTGGGAGTTGGCCAATCTCTAATTGCTGCCACTTTTTCTTCATCCACTTGGACTCCCTTTGAACTCACTACAAACCCTAGGAAGACTACATGATCCATGCCAAAAATGCATTTCTCCCTATTTGCATACAAGGTCTCTTTCCTAAGGGTTTCAAGTACACTTCTTAGATGATACACATGCTCTTCCTCAGACAAGCTATAGACTAAGATGTCATCAAAGTATACCACTATCAAAGTATAGCATGTGATGCATTAGCCGCATGAATGTACTCGGAGCATTGGTTAGGCCAAAGGGCATGACCAACCATTCGTATAGTCCAAATTTGGTCTTGAAAGCGGTTTTCCATTCATCTCCTTCTTTGATTCTAATTTGATTATATCCGCTCTTCAGATCAATTTTGGAAAACACGGAAGCTCCATGTAACTCATCTAGCAAGTCATCCAGCCTTGGAATTGGGTGCCTATACTTAACAGTTATATTATTGATTGCCCTACAGTCCGTGCACATCCGCCAACTCCCATCCTTTTTGGGGACGAGAATTACCGGCATTGCACAAGGACTCATGCTATCTTGGACCCAACCCTTAACTTTTAATTCCTCAACTTGCCTTTCAATCTCTCTAGACTCTTCCGGGTTTGCCCTATAAGCTGCACGGTTAGGAATGGATGAACCAGGTAAGAAGTCTATTTGATGTTCGATCCCCCTTAGAGGTGGAAGCCCCTTAGGAGGTTCTTGAAAAACATCCCGAAATTCATCCAATACTAACTCTAGACTCTAGGACAAACTTGGAGATTGTTCATGAAATGCAGGGGAAGAACCTAGAGGAGGATATGCTAAGAGTAGGGGTTTATGAGCTAAAAGTACCTTCTTAATCCCCTTGTGGGAGATCATGATGCCCTTCGCCTTGGAGGTTGACCCCTTCTCTTTTTTTTCTCTCTTTGTTTCGTTTTCTTCTTTTCTCTTTTTTTGCATTTTTTCTTGGTCCTTACTAACTTCTTGAGGGGAAAGGGGTTTCAAAGTGATCTTGCGCCCTTGGAAGTTAAAAGAAAACTTGTTTGTATAGCCGTCATGAAATGTTTGTTTATCAAATTGCCACGGCCTACCAAGTAACATATGGGATGCTTCCATTGGCACAACATCACAAAGAACCTCATCTTTATAGTTCCCAATGACAAAGCTAATGAGGACTTGTTTATTGACCTTTATCTCGCCTTCCTCACTAACCCAAGAAAGTTTGTATGGCTTGGCATGAGGAGTAGTGGGTAAACCAAGCTTGTCTACTACCCTTGTGCTAGCAACATTCACACAACTTCCCCCATCGATGATTAGTGAACACAATTTGTCATTAATAAGACAGTGGGTGTGAAAAATATTTTCTCTTTGAGTATAGTCAAGATCCTTCTGGACTTGACCCAACATCCGCCTTACTATTAACAAATCGCCTTCACAAGGTGTGATCTCTTCATCGCTTGAGGAAGAGTATTTAGAGGAATTCTCTTCGGATGAGGAGGAATGTTCACTCTCGACATCTCCGTTTGCGCTCAAAATCATAGTCCTTTTGGTAGGGCGGTTTGAAGCAATATGCCCATACCCAAGACATTTGAAACATTTTATGGAACTAGTCCTTTGAGGCGCGGAAGTGTTAGGAGTGGTGTTCCTTGAAGGGTTTCCTTTAGGGGCACCTCTTGGAGAGCTTTGGAAGGGTTTCTCTCTGGTTTGTCCTTTTCCTTGCCCTTGTCCTTCCAATTTGAATTGTAGTAGTCATTATGCGAATAACTCCTTTTAGCCCCATCTTTTCTTTTCAATTGAGCTTCAATTTTAAGGGCAAGATGTAAAACATTTTCAATTGAGGAGTATTCGTATAATTCTACTAAGTCCTGGATATCTCTTCTAAGACCACTAACAAACCTAGCTACCTTAGTCTCATTAGTTTCATCATGCATACCGGCCCTAAGTAGCAAAGATTCTAGCGTCTTGAAGTAATCATTCACACACATATTACCCTGTTGAAGCCGTTGGAGCTTCAACAAGAGCTCCCTCCTATAGTAGGAAGGAACGAATCTAGCGCGCATTAAATGTTTAATGTCCATCCAAGAAGCCGCGGGTGGCCCTTGGTAATTATCGTTACAAACCTTATGCCACCAAGTCATGGCATATCCCTCAAATTCTACTACAACTAAATCTACTTGTTCTTGGTCCCCTACTGGGTTTACATTAAAGATTTGGTCCACTTTAGCCTCCCGAGTCTAGGTAGACTTCGGATCATTATCTCCGTAGAACTTGGGTATCTTAATGTTGTTCCTTCTTGGAGTGTTGGTGCGCCTAGATTGCCTCCTTCCATGGTATCTCCTATCTTCTTCCTCTTGGGAACTTAGTGAATATGAACGTCTTCTCTCTCTTTGGGACTTCTCGGCTTCTAGTCTTTGGATTGTCTCCCTCAAATGTCTTTCACTTTCCTTCCGGGACAATTCCATTTCTTTAATTAATTCCACCGGAGTTTGTTCCGCTAGACCTTGTATTTGTCCTTCATTAGATGCCCCCACATTGCTTGCCTTCTCTGATGAGGAATTTGACATGTCTGCAAAACAAGTTAAACTAATACAAAACATGAAAGATGAAAGGTTAAAATGTAAATCAAGTCACTCAAGTGTTTGGCTTCTCACACAAAATTTATTGGTAGGATCACTCCACTCTTCAAGTAGAAAAATTTCTAAATGTTCCAAAATTCTCTTTAAAGTCTTAAAAATTTCTCTTGAAAAATGGCAATCAAATGGAAAGATGTACGACAACCAAAACACTTAAGAGTTCCAAAAAATAGAAAACTTCAAAGACAAAACTTAAAGAAACCTAAGACAAGCAATAAAAGCACAAAATCAAGGAAGGTTTACTAAGAGGGAAATTTAGACAAAACTTTGAACAAGACTAAAACAAGAAAAGCTAGAAAGAAATTTGAGAAGCACTTAAAACATGCAATCAAAATTTTCAACCAAGCACACACATAAAGAAGATTAAGGTTCCTACAATGTTAGAACTAATTTGCCAAATTTTAATCATGCAACTAAGTATTATGACAATTTCTAGAATCAAATCCTATAAGTGCAGAATTTTTTTTCTTTTCCTTTTTTTGTTTGTTTGAAGCAATAAGGTTTTGATCAAGATACTTTTTTTTGTAAAAATATTTTTGTTCTAACTTGATTCTAGACTTGCCAAAAGTTGTTTAAAGTTGCTAGCAAAAATTTGATCACTTAATTCCTATGTTTAGGATCCTAGATCAATTCATCATGCATGGACTCAACTAATTAATTCATCATGCAATTTCAAGTGTTGGAAGCCAATAAAAGAAAATTTCAACAAGAGATACTAGACATATAACTCAAGCAAAGGCTAGGCACATTTAGAAAGACACTAAACTTAGAAGAATATGTAATTTAATCAAGTGCAGAATTTTTTTTTTTTTTTTGGCTAAGCATTTTATCAAACATCATACATGCCATAAAAAGAAACTTAGGTGAGTGTAGTATTGGACTAACCTCACGCCCAAACTTTTGAGTGCAGCACCGTAAACCAAATGACCATAAAAAAAACCACAATTTAGAGCACAAAACACAAACTACACAAGGAATAATGTCAAAGCAACAATAAGAATACCTTACTAGAAACAACCTAAGCTCTGAATACCAAATGATGTAAAAATAAAGTAAGGTGCAGAATTGTAAGAAGATAAGGTGCAGAATTTTAAGCAATAAAGTAAGCAAACCCAAGGAAAATTCCCACTGGACATTAAGATAGTTGCCTATCTAGATGTGAAGGTTCATTTCCAAGGATTATGGAGGGAGAAAGAGATGGAATGAAACTAGAAACGAATAAAGACAAGGGCTGGAAAATTGGACCAGCCCCTTGCATAAATAAATGAAGGGAAGAAATAAAGAAGAAAAGAGGAAGAGAAAAGAATTATGGTGGTGGTGGAGTGTTGGCACGCCACTAGGGGGATGAGCCACCCTAGATAAGTGGTGGTTGCCGCCACTTGAACCAAGGTTCAAGATAAGACACTCAAAGAGATGGAACACTCTAAGAAACCTCACAAACTTTTCATAAATGTTCAACCTAATTACATGAGGGGAAGCCTCTATTTATAGGCTTTTAGGGGAGGGACCTAGATGGAATTATAAAAGGAGACATAAACTTAACCTAAACCTAAAGGCTAGAGTCCCCATGGTCCAAATATGTTAAATTCGTTCTAGCCCACCAAAAATACCTCTAAGGGTGTGGAGAACATGAAAAAAGAGGTGTGTTTCCTTTTGGGTTGTCCCAAGCCAACCAATCCCGCATCCTAAGCTTCTTCCTCTCCAAAAAGGGGTGTAGGACATGAAAAAGGAGTGTCCTACACCTTTGGGCTGCCCATGCATGTATCCTATGGATCCAAGGCTTCTTTTCCACCAAAAAAAAAAGGTGGTATTCTTCAAAAAGGAGGTGCAAAAAGTGAGCCTATAAAAAGAAAGCGAAAATAAGTGAAAAACTTAGAAAAAGAAAATACTAAGTAAAGATACTAAGTAAATTCAAAATGGAAGGTAAAGAGGAGGCCTCCCTTCTAGTCATGCTTCTAGTAATCCTCCTAGGAATGACCTCTCCCGCCTCCGGGGCAACTAGGGACTCATCAAACTTAGTTGAGATAACTAACAACATAGTGATGCTTCAGCACTCATTTTTATTTAAAAAAAAAAATCTCTCTGCAACCTGAATCTCTACAGTTTAATCATCTTGTCCAGGCAGGTTGCCAGTCCACATATTGCAAGTTGCAACATTAGATCTTTGTTTAAAACAAATAAGAATGTTATTATGTTTTATTTAAACTATAATGAGAAAATAAATCCACTAATAATCTTAAAACTAAAGTATCATGTTATGTTATATTATTATTTATTTTTGAAAAGGTTAAATATATTTTTGGCTTCTGCATTTTTCGTCAATCTTGATTTTAGCCCCTATACTTAAAAATTGATTAGTTAGTCCTAAAACTTTAAAAATATTGCAACTAGTCATTTTATCAATTTATAACAATAAAAAAATGTTATTAAATATTAAATTTAGGTGTAAGAAAAACACCAAAATCATATTTAATCATTTTATCAATTATGTTAAGCTAAAAAATATCATTGAATTTTAAAATTAAATATAGAAAATTATTAAAATTACATACTTTCATAAGTTGAGGACTTATTAATCAATTCACTAAATGTTAAAATTAAGTATAGAAAATGATCAAAATGGTATTATTTAAGGACTTGTTAATCAATTTTTAGTATAAGGAGCAAAACCAAATTGACTAAAAAATGCAGGACAAAATGGTATTATTTAACCTTTTTAAAAATATTTGAAAAAAGTGGGGGAGGTCCCGTCTCTGAAACCGATCATATTCCCTTTGTATGTATTTGGGTCAGATATGAATTTACCCTTTGATTGTCCATATTGATATGTAATTAATTTCTGTGCAAGCTGTAATTAATTCTGTTTGTATCAATTGCTTCAAATCAAGCTGTCTCATTGGCTCGTTTTTAACAGGTCTGAGTGGATTGGTAACATTGGATCTCTTTGGAGCACGCATCTCAGACAGTGGAACTGCATATTTACGATGTATGTATTTGGATGTATGCATGCTTCAATTTAAGACTAGTTGATTTCCTTTTTGGTGCATGACTGTATGCCATTCCTAACAGTATATTTCTCTGACCTACCTGATGCAAGTTGACTGTGTTTACTTGTAAGATATAACTGAGTAGATAATAGGAGTGCATCATAGATAATAGGCTTTCTTGCCATTTACTTTTTCGGAAATTTCATGCTTATCACGTAGGTATTGGGCTGCACACTTTAATTTTTTTCATGAAAATGCTACAATCACTTCCGAGAATAAATTAAAAATTGCTGAACTGGACAAGCAAGAAGTACAAAATCTAGCTATCTTGTGCAAGTGGTTTATTTATTATAACTTTTTCACTTATACTTAAAAATTTGGTGTTGAATGTTGTGCAAGTGGTTTATTTCAACACCAACTTACTTTTTTCTTCATTTGTTTTGTGTAGTGTAAGAAAAGAGCACTGATTGAAAATAATGGGAAAATATGGTTTTACATGACACCTTGCCTAAGGTTATTGGTTATCTTGCTGGCTTTAATTTTAGGTCCTCTTTTGTTCTCCATCTTGCAGCATTCAAGAACTTGCAATCCCTAGAAATATGTGGCGGAGGTTTAACTGATGATGGCGTAAAAAATATTAGAGAAATTGTCTCCCTGACACAGCTAAACCTGTCCCAAAATTGCAACTTGACAAATAAAACTCTGGAATTGATATCTGGTATTTTCTGCTTGCCTTCATTACTTCATATACCCCATAAAACTTCTTCCAGAAAATAATTGTTTGGTAGACGGACACAAAACTGTAACTGGAATGACCAGTCGATGATAGATTACCTCTTGCAAGCTCAATTTTTGTGCAAAATGTTTGTTAGCTGAAGCTCTACTGGAACACGTTAGCCATACCATTGATCATTGGCAACTGAGTTCCCGGATAATAGTAATTAAATATGAAAATGAAAGAAAAGAAAATTAGATGGAGAATATTATCTGTTTGTATTTGATTTTACTTCCTCCCCTTTCAACGCAATTCGATCAAATACAAATTTGTGGTGCTTTGGTTAATACATCTGTCTTGTATATGTTTATATCTGAATACAGGTATGACAGCACTGAGGTCGCTAAATGTTTCAAATTCTCGTATAACCAATGGAGGACTAAAGCATTTAAAGTCTTTAAAGAATTTACGCACTCTTACCTTGGAGTCTTGCAAGGTTACTGCTTCTGAAATTAAGAAGCTTCAGTCGACTGATCTTCCAAGTTTGATAAGCTTTCGGCCAGAGTAAACCAGGAGAATGAGAGAATTCTGTTATCTATCTGGTGAACAATTCTCTGTACATATTTATGGCTACTGTTTGGATAGCTAAGAAAAATGTATATAAAATTGGCATGCAAGAATGTAATTATGTTTTATTTTGCATGTTAGTATTTTCCCGTCCAAGAATAATTGTACATATATCTTTATTTTTCACTTTCTCCGCCGGATGTGGATGCCTGATGAGGCTATCTATGTTTGTCTGTGAATATTATGATGATATATTATGATTTGTGTAATGAAGATGTTTGGACTAGAGTGATGGTGCTCGTTAATACATTTATAAAATAATGGATTGTAATCGACTTTACTGTGTTGTTTCGTCATGAATAAGGAGCACTAATTGTGGGATGATATTTTGTGATTCGTTTTATTATTAATGTTCATATGTGGTGTTTGTAGGACGCATTCCATGTTCTATGATTCATTTTATCGTTTCATATCATATTTTATGATTTGTTTTTTTGTTTCATCGCGGCAATGCATAGTCTTTCAGTATGCATGTCACTTTGTTGCACTGGTGAGTGGATAAAATTTGTTTCAAATTTAAACTCAGATGGGATACTGGGTACAAGCCACATTTTGGAAATGGAAATAGTAAAGATGATTACTAGTCATAACTGTATTAATACAGAAATATTAATTGTTAAATTATACCTAAAATAATAAATAACATAAGAGAAATATTACTATTTAATTATACTAATGACAAAAAAATAACATTTTATAAGTAACATTCAAAATATAAATAACATTTTTAACATTCAAAATATAAATAAAAAAGTAAATATCTCATAAGTTTAAGATTTAAAAATTCATTATATTTTTTGAAAATAACAGCTTTCTAGAAAAAAGATCAAAAGACAATATTTTTTGGAAACAAAAGATCAAACTGATATTCAAAAGAATATATTTTTCTTTGAACCTCTGCAAATTGATTTTTCCATTTTGTCTAGTTTAGCTCGAATGTCAAAATTAGTCTAGTTCTCCTGTATAAGATTCAATGATTTCTAGTTCTTCTTTACGATAAAACCGTAAAATGATTTAAAAGAAAAAAAAATGTATTATTGAGTACATCTCCTGCTACTACTGACCATTTTCCATTATGAAACCCACATGTATCTTTTTCTTTTCTACTGAAATCATTCAGGAGAGATTTCCTCATTGTTTAGTCATGAACTCTAATATTCTCACAAGACAAGTTTGAAATCTTCACAAATAAACTACATAGAGCGGATGTGCAATTTACACACCACACTCTCACCAGAAGAGCGCAAATAAGATTCAAGCTCAACAAATGTACCAGCTTTTTTCTATGTTCAATATATATTATTCTGACTCAAAATCAGTTTAAATAATCATCTTCATCAATACTATGAATCAATCAGAATTAAAATCCACACGCTTGAAGAAATTTGAATCATACATGTATCTAGTAGAAAATGCACTACAACCTGTAAGTTTACGCAGTAGGAGGAAAACTCTTTCGGAAAGAGACTACCCCAGGAAAGATCAAAGAGTACATTAGACATGGATAAATAATAGAAGAAAAATGAACATATACCTGCCGCTGCTTGCTTTTGGTACAAATTCAACATCCTACCAACAACTAGAAATCCAACAACTAATTAGAGGGAAGACAAAATGAGCAGAAGCAGAAACTAGGTAAAAGGTAATTCCTGCCACGCCATCTTCCTAATGTGTAAAAAAACAACTTGTAGACCCTTATGCTTTTGGAAATGTAGACGCCATTAAAAGAATAATTTCTTTAAGTACATTGGTGAACCCACGTTCTTAAAAATTGCATGAATAACCTGCATAATAAAATAGACAAATCAAGATTCTCATCAAAATGACTATAATCAAATCATCAACAAGGTAAGCACAAAAAGAACTCGAGGAGGGTAAATAATATAACTGAGCAATGACAAACATGTACGTAACTAGAGCTTTCTTTGTGTGCATTAAGTTGCAGAGGAATAACAAATATCATTTTGACAAACATGATGCGATTTTAGAATCAGATTGGAGAACATCAATATATCTAGTTATTTAATATTGGTCCCTCTAGTAAGACAGCTATAAATAAATGATATTGTTGAAAGATAAAAGATACATTATATGAAAGAGTTTTAATGCGCACAATATTAACAGTATCTCCTAACTTTCGAAATCAAAATACTAATCTAATATAATTTTTTTTCTCCTTCTCTGAATAATATTTAAAAAACTTAAACATAAAAGAAACCTCTTGATAAACTAATTTAAATAAAAGATAACTAAGCACTAATTCTCAACAAGTATTGTTGAGTAACAACGTTAAAATATGCAGATATCATTCATTAGAAGATAAGAGAAATGTAAAATCAAATATTGACTAAATGACTAGTCACGGAGTTGTGATGTTAGTTACAGATTCCAAAGGCTAAAAAGATGTGTCATGGGGTCAAGAAATAAGCATGAAGGTGATGGTTACGAGAGAGATAAGATATATGCAGTGTTTCATTTGATATAAGTTTCCCCTTTTTCAATGTTGTTCTCAATTGTTCCAAAAATATGCTGAATTTTTATATCGGAAAAGTTGCTACTGCTGATGACTTAACTGGAATCTGTAGTGTCTGAACAATTATTGCAACTAATTAATTCTTGTACAGTTAACAAGGTGGTCAATTTGGCTTTGGGGTAATACCAGAGGATTGCTTCAATTAGGTTAAGGACATGTATGGAGTTGAATGAAAAGCTTATCAATGGCTTTTGTTGGATAGGAAAATGGGTTCTGAATTGCAATTCGTAGTTCAAGATAATTATATTCAATTGCTTCAAATAACATCTTAAAAAATTTCAGATATCACTTTCTAGACCTTATTTTGCATGAAGAGCGTTTCAACCATTTTCTATTGCTACCAAGCTTGTGCATTGTAAAATGTATTTGCGAAGAAACTGCTCTACTAAACTTTAAGCAAGAAAAAATTGGAACCATTAACAGCAAAACATTTAACCCCGGTACAAATATTTTGTACAGCTACTTATGAATGCTCAAATCTGTTAACACTTGCTAGATACAGTCAAAAACTCATTCTACACGAATATTAGTATGGGTGTCAGATTCTCATTTACCTTCTGATGACAATAGAATTTCAGGCACAGAAGCAGCCTAGGTGACTGTTGGCCGAGTCACTCCTTCAAGTACTTGAAGAAAAATATGCAACTCATGCAAGCTCAAAGGCATGATATGTTTTTGAAACTCGCCTTCTAAATAAGGGTTCCAACCGAAATGATGGAACTCCATTCTGCCACTTTTTAGCTTTGTACATCTCATTCCATGCCTGCACTATTTCATCAATTTTGAAGGCAAGACCTGCCAGTGAAAAAGTTAACATATATGAATGTATATCATTATATCTACGTAGCTATATCAACTTTAAAGGCAAGACCTGCCAGTGACAAAGTTTCTAAGTATTTTGACAACATACCATCTACTGCAGTATTATTTGAACAGTGGTTCTTCAAAATTACAGCTATATCTGTTGGAGAAGCTCCGGCAAGTTCAAATTTCTCAACTGAAACTTCTAGAGTTTCATGCCACGTAGGTAGCCCTAATTTGAATTCCACAATTGAGCGTTCATATAGCATGGTACCCCATAGGAGATTTATTTGAGACTTCATATGTGCCTCCTGTGCTGCAAGTTCATCTAATGATATATTTTTAAAAAACCCACCCAACCCCATGTTCTGCAAATGCAATCCAACATCATGTGAATTAGATGTTTTACTCAAGTTCTGATTTTTTGATTCTTCCCATATCTGCATTCCTTTCTCCATATTTTCTTCGGCATTGTTGTAAAGATGAAGAACTTCATTGGAAGGCCATGTCAACAAGTCTGCATTACTACTGAGTGCATGATACCACGAAAGTTTTGCTTGCTCAAACTGCTGCAGCCCTAGCGCCAGGAAGCCTTCATGAAAATCTGACTTCATTTTAGTGGCTGCATCATATTTTTCTCCTGCTTTTAAATATTCTTCCAGTGCCCATTTATATGAACTTTTGATCTGTTCACATAGATGGTCTTTAGAAGAATCTTCTTTTTTATATACCTTCTTCCTTGCCCTAGACATATGCACATTTCCCCAGTTGAACAATGCAAGGGCAGTCATCTCTTGGAACTTATCTCCTGCCATGTCAAATAGGCCTTGTGCTTCTTCGCTTGTAACCGTCTCCTCCAGAGCCTCAGAATAGAGCTTCATCCCATGTTCATGAAAGTCCAAATATCTGTCAGATTCAAACCCAACATGCTTCTTGAATAATTTGGCAAACTGAATTATCCAATCCTCAATGCAAGAAGAGCTAACAATTTCATTTTCGTTTCCAACACAACCATTCTCAAGTGCAATGTCAACGCCAACCTCGGCCTCCTTCAATTTAAATTTCTCAAAAAGTGGATCCTGCTCAGGAGTTGCTTCTACTATATGCAGTCGGATAGAACTACTAGATCCTGTTTCAGCCAGTCTTAATTCATCATCAGAAGTGATTGTGACTAAATCCCCTTCTTGGTCCCTGTATTTGACAAGAACAGATCCTAGGCTCGAGAATCGATCCTGAATAACTTCTCTTAACTTGAAGAGGCTACAATTGATAGGTAGTTCAGCACATCTTATATCATCACCAAAAATAAGTTTAACTGTTTTGTTAGGAACGTGTTCCCTTCTACCATTACTTCTTTCCTCAATAACTTCCTTTATGTCAGCCTTCTTCTCATCAATTTTTTCCTTGGCCTTCTTCTTCTTGGACGTGTTGTTCTTCTTCTCATCGACCACAACACTGCCCTCAGCCTTCTTCTCCTCAAATTTCTCCTCAGTTTTTCTTTCTTGAATTTTGTCATCAGGAGCCTTCACTTCCTCTTTATAGCCCTTCTTCTTGCGCATGTTTTCTTTCACTACCTTTTCTGGAGGCAAAGCACTAGGAGGTTCAACATAATTTGGTGGCAACTCAATTATTGTATCGTTAACCCTCAATCCTTTCTCCTCAAGTGCTTTTTTCACCTTTTCTGAGATCTCTAATGCCATGACATTATTTGGCTCCATCTTCAGAACGGTACTGACATCTCTTAGAGCTAAATCCAGCCTATTTAAAGCCTCATAGCACCTTGCCCTCTTCAACAGTGCTTTACTATATTTCGGTGTCACTTCAAGAGCCAAATCACATTCACGAATAGCCCTTGGCAACTCACTGATTCCCATCTGCATATAACATGCAGCCATGTTGCTCCGCAGATAGGACACATCAATATGATTTCTTGGAAGCAACTTGAGGGCTTTCTCATATTTTAATATAGCTCCTTCCAGATCCCTCTTTTGAAACATCTTGTTCCCCTCATTCTTCAATTCTTGAGACATGGATATAAACACCATCGTATCATTATCATATGCTCTGGGGTTGCCATCTCCCCCTTTACTATCCTCCCTTATTTCTTCTACTTGCTTCGTTTTCTTTCCCATTTCCCCTCTCTTATACCACACAACTCAATTAATTCCACTCAAACCAAGAAAACAAGAAAACCAATTACAAGGCCTGCCAAAAAGAAAAGAAATATAAAGGCAATCTAACATGAAAGACCTTCAGATATAATTAACATGGCAGTATCCAAAACCCAAGGAAACGGTGGACAAGATAACAACAAACAAGCATTTTATCATAACCAAGTTCACCGGCTTCATACATAGAACGTAGCCTCCAATTTGAAAGTTGAAGAACAAAATCTTTAACTGGAACAAGTTGAAAATCTCAAAGTGGTGCTGCTGAAGATTGACCGGCTTGTCTTCTTACCATAATGGCTCAACTAACACGAACATTCAACACAGACGTATATTTTTCTCTCAATTAGGATTTGTTTAAGCTAATAAAATCCTATTTCAGAGAGACATTCAGAAAAGGTGAAACAATACCCCAGAATTTGGGAAGAGAAATAAACTCATCTGGGTGACAAGTTATAGGAAAAAGCTCCAAACTTTGCAGCTGCAAGTAAAACCCAAACAAAACGAAACAGCAAGGAAGTTTGAAATGCAAGAAAAACCAAGTTGTGTTCTTGCTGTTCTTTTGTAATATGGAAGAATCGTTTTTCCTACCCTTCACGTTAACGCCACAAAAGCATTTGACAAAAAAAAAATCACATTACGTGAGCTTCTTAACTGAACTCAGAATCTGAAATCCCACGGCAAAGTATTTTTCTTTTTCTTTATTTCTATTTTTATTATATGGTAGGTCCATTCTACATTCCTGTGTTGCTCATGAATTAACCATTAATTGAACACCTTCATATTCATGGGAAACGACGACATCCATAAGTTAGCCTTTTACATAAAGTGTACGATTGTTCCTTTCCTTATCCAATTTAATTAGCAATGATTTCACATGGTTCTCATCTAATTTTGGTATGATTTTCAGACAAATATGACCACTACATAATCTAGTTCAATTTCTGACATTTATGATGCCAAGAAATAAATAGAGGAATTAGGAGAAAAAAAAAGGATAAGAAATAAGTGAAAAAATAAATTATTTGATTAAAAAGAGATGAATAAAGAATAGTTTATTTATTAATAATAATTTTATGTATTATTTATTAATATTGATATTTTTTTTAATTATGTACTATAGCCACCCACATAAGATTTAACAAACATAAAACATCTTTCTAATAAAATAAAATTCCACTCTATTGTTTTACATTTCTTTGGTAAGTTTCCTTTTATTGAAATTTTATAAAAATTTAGAGATTGGTTGGTAGATGAAGATTCCACTCCATAGAAAAGGTAGATAGGAAAAGTGAAAAAGCACGTTAGGATAGAAAATGAAAAGCTGGTAACTAAGTTGTGTGTGGCAATGCTTGCTTGCTCCTAAAGTAATAACTTGAATTTTTTTTTTTTTTTATGAAAATTAAATATGAATAACCGAGGATCTTGTACAACTCACATACATAATTCTTGGTAGCTCTACACGTTCCTGGTTATAAAAAGAAGAACAAAGAATCAGAAAGAAAATAGAACAAGTAATCTTTTATAAAACTACACATTCTACAAATTTTCAGAAACAGAAAAGAAAAAATAAGATTCTCAAGCAAGGAATCTCACCAAAATAAACAAATCTTCCTTTTTTTTTTCTGACACATACTAGATTAAACTAAGACTAATAATCAATATTCAACACAAAATAAGATTTAATTATCATGAATAAGTGTTAAAAAGTTTGATTTTCTAGCATGGATTCTGGGATTATTATTATTTTAGACTTGTAGCTGTAACACCATGCATTATTGTCTGGTAATAATAACTGTACTTTCCTTCCATGTGCTGGTGGTCCAGACATCTTGGGATATTATTCAACCAAAATTCATACTTTCCATATTCAAGGATAATTCCACCTTCAAATTGCATCTCAAATGGACATTTTAGTAACATTGGCAAGTGCTTTATATGATGAATGATTTGGTAAATAATTATGTAATTGTACAAATGGAATCATGTGGCTTAACTTGATTAGGGTTGGTATGACCAAAAACCTCATTAGTCATAATAATCAAGTGAAATCACTTTTTTGTTCTTCTTTGGTCTAGATTCTCTATCTACAGAATAGGTCAAACATTTTATAACAAAAAAAAAAAAGAAAAAAACATGAAAAGTAGCATTAATCTCAAACGTTCCGTCCACTACCTCGTGATCTCAAAAGGTTGCAGGCAAAATGAATTGCACATGGCGAAAACTATTAATATAAATTAGTTTTGTTATGCCTTGAACTAATCGTTGTGGTTTTCAAAATTCTTTTTACGAGGACTTGCAATTTGTTCTATGATGAAGTTTAATGTGTTGTTTGTTCCCAGGATTGTTTCTTTCCAGAGTTTAAAAAAACTTTGGTCGTCTTCTCTTCTTGAAGATCCACTTAGCATTGCCCTTTATGATTGTTGGTAACATAAGTTTTAAATTCAACTCTACTCTGTCATTGTATTGTTTAATTTATTTTATTTTTTATAAATGCTACGTGGTCCGAAAGTTTTATTTATTTTTGAGCTATTTTGTTCTTATTTTATATATATTTCTATTATTGAAGTTACCTATAACAATATACTGTATGAATTATATGTATAATATTATGTTAAATAATGAATAAGAAAAGGTATGATATACCTTTCTCATATGTGAGTTAAAGTTATGGATAGTCCTATGAATAAATACCATGTCATTAAAATGAAACACGTTACTAATTAGGTTCTTTTGAAAAATATTAATGAAAGTATAATATTAAAACAGAGTTGTTTACAAGTTGTATAGATTTAGGTTATATGAAACCTAATAGGACGTTTGACATAGTAGTTGAGGTTGTTATGGATACTTTATTATGTGTCTCTATTTTTCAAACCCTGTGTGCCAATGTGATCCCATTTGTTTGATTCTCTGATGATACTTTGAATGGGTTTTTGGGAGACACGAAAACTGCAAGAATAACAAATCCTTATGAAAGAGACTCCCAGACCTAAAAACAGACATTTATTTAATTTAACATCTCCAATTGCGGCTACAACATTTAATCAAAAAGAGAAGAGAAGGAAGAGTGTCCATCGCTTATGAAAAATATCCAACAGCCTGTTTGATCTCATATTTCAACATTATTAGCAGTAGCCAGGTAGCCTTTTCGAAGGTGAATCGTTCTTTTGTTGATTTGAAAGGAAAATTGTGCACCTAAAGAGGAAAAGAGGAAAAGAAGGAAAGAAACTGGTGTCTAGTAACACAAACAACTCCACATTGCTTAGATATGCCAATGAACTTGACAACAATCCAGGTAACTTGTAAATGACACTCAGCTGCAACCTTAGCATCTGCTTTACAACCATGGCTGCATCTTTTTCGGCATGAAAACCATCCTTCCTGATAAATGTGAAGGAAAAAAGAAGTTCCAGTAGTCATTAGCAATCCTGTTTCTGAATTTTGAGCACTGTATAGACTGTGAGAGCCACTTATCCAGGTATTAAACATAACCGCATTCAAGATCAATCGGAACTCACTTGTCCTGTATCCAATTTAGTAGTTCTCCCCCATCACATAACCTAAGATGGTAAATTTTCACCAAGTTCACTGCAATACGTACATAGATTCATATATAAAGGAACAATAGAAAGTAATCAGATAAAATTATTCATTAATCAACTCCCAGACTGTGAAGCACCGACACGGCTACCCTCATCCGTGTCGGAGTGTCGCGGACGTTTGCGACACCGACACCGCCACGACACTTCGCGGAAGCGTGTCCGACTCTTTTTTGCAGTGTCCCCTGCACCAAAAACGTGTCGCGAGGCTGCGATTCATGTGGACACGGCGTGCCCTAATTCCGACGCGGTGTGAGACACGGCTCCGACTCGGGAACAGGTTTTATAAAAAAAAATTGAATTTTTTCTATTTACTTTTATTTTCACGTATCCTTCCTTTCTTCCTTCCTCTGCACGTATCCTTCCTTTCTTCCTTCCTTCCTCTGCACCTTTCCATTTCTGCTCCAAAGCTTTCCTTTCATCCAAAAAATCTTTCTTTTTTTCCTTCCAGTTTTCCTCTGCTGTGTGCTACTGTGAGAGCACAAACCACACAACGCTCTCTGCCCAATGAACTCCGAAATAACGAAGTAGTTGAAGAGCCACTATTAGCAATGTTGGCAGGGAAAGAGTGGAGACGAGAAAGACAATGTTGGCAGGGAAACAAATGAAGAGCTAGAAGATGAAATTCCAACCCATTTACAAAGAGGGAGGAATATAGGGTTTGTGAAAGAGAAAAGGGTAGAGAGTTCATTGTTGTTCAGGTATTCCACTTCATCATGCTCTCTTTTGCTGTACATGGTTTACGCCTTTGTTTTGCTTTATTTTCTTTTATAATGTTTTATTTTTTTTATTAGAATGCGATAGTTATGAAATGATGAACATATAAAAATCATATGTTATTGGTTTCATTTATGTAGAAATGAGTAATTCTAGTCAGCCTTTACAAGATGATGATATCAAACCCCTATGGAATTATGTTACAAAGATAAAAAGTGTTGGTGGAGGTGGTGGAAATTATGAGGTAAAATGCAATATTTGTAATCTTACTTTCAATGGATCTTATACTAGAGTGAGAGCACATTTGTTGAAGATTACAGGAAAGGGAGTTAGAGGTTGTCAAAAAATAACACCCTTGAAGCTTGGTGAACTAACAAAGCTAGACAATGAAGCTACATTGAAGATAGAAAGGTCTAAGACAAAATTTGTCCCTTTGCCTCCGGTTTCTAATGAATCATCTATAGATGGTGTTGATATCAAAAAAAGAAAAACATCCGGATCACTAGATAAAGCTTTCAATATGCAAGCTAGAGAGACATTAGATTATGAAATTGCTAGGATGTTTTACTCATCGGGATTGTCATTTCATTTAGCAAGAAATCCTTATTATAGGAGAGCTTTTTCTTTTGCTGCCAATAATTATGTAAGTGGATATCAACCACCAGGTTATAATAAGTTGAGAACAAGTTTGCTTGCTAATGAAAGAAGACATGTAGAGAAGCTTTTGGAGCCAATCAAAAATACATTTATATAAGATGAATGAACAAATCTTAATTTTTAATTTATATATTTCTCATTTGAATCATATTTCAATTTTTATTCATGTCTAATATATATAAGGTGTCCCGGTGTCCTATATTTTAGAAGTTTGCCGTGTCCGCGTGTCCGTGTTGTGTCTCAGTGTCCGTGTCGGAGTCGGTGCTTCATAGCTCCCAGAAGATATATCCAGACTTCATTGCAATTAAAGTGATACTCAAAAATCGTTTGTTCAACGAATGGCATAAAAAAAAGTAAAATCAAAGGCAGCTTACTCCGTAACTATGTACACATATGAATCATCCTCAAGAGCATTACAGAACTAAACTACATTTTCATGGCGTGTAAGTTCTTTCAATATCTTTACTTCTTGCTTAACATCCTCAACAGAAATGGGGAAAACTATCCTCAACTAAATTCAAGGATTGATTCAGGAATGCGTGAAACCTCTTACAAAAACAAATCAGAGCGTAATTAATAAGAAAACACTGGAAAAGAGCTTGAGTAAAACTTTGGTACATGATGTTACACTAGGAGCTACCTTGCCAGAAGAATCAAATGCATTAAATGATGAACATTTGTTTTCTGTGAAGTGAGAACGTAGAAAATAAAATGGACGAGGTTGCTGAAAATTCACTTTCCAGCCCAGAATTAATGGCTGATTTCACTTTCCACCACCCATCCTGAAACAGTGCTGACATGTGCACAATGACACAGATTGGCTTGTTACCAATGAAATTAGATGAGCAACAAAATTTCTGCAACATACCTAAAAAAGAAGCACCAACCATAACCGGATTTCTTATTTCAACCTAAAAAATTAAAGGGGACAACATTTGATCAATATGAAGAGTAAAAAAGCAAAGGAAATGTTATCCTTGCTTCAATCAGATTTGGTATCGTGGGCTTATAATTTGGGGGCAATTCTACAATGCAAGTCCTTTAAGTGGCATGGATTCCACTTGTAGCTAAAATTTCATTTGACTAAATTAACCATAATTGGTATCTTGATATATGCGTATGGAAACCAATCTAAATGCCGTAAACATCCATTTTGATCTTCCAAAGATACCATTGTCACTATTCAATAGTTTGGTCTTTTAACGGTAAATACCTAAAAACATTTCAGCTTGATGTAAAAAATTGATGATAAGGTCCATTTTGATGTTATTTATACCAGAATCTAGTTAAAGCCAGAGGTGGCACCAATATATTGATTTTAACATTTCTATCCCTCTAGCATCATATTGTTAATTTCCATCTGTATTTTGTGTACAATTTGTTTGTCTGTGTGTATAATTAGAACTAGTTCTGATATTATGTTTTGACAGAATTGCTCATCGGTTGAACAGTGATAGACTCTGAATGAACCGCTCTTGTAAAAGAAAGCCAGCGAAATAGGTTACATGGGATATTAATTTCTAATGACAACGTGGATATATATTTCCATCATTAAAGGAAATAACTATGTACTACATGTAACTGCTAAAGCCATGATACTAAAAGATACACTGTCAATAATACCTCTAAAATACTGAATTCCATTAAACAACTGGTAATCCAGAGTTAATCCACAAACAAAATTATAGGATTACAGTGATCATTTATTAAGGTTGAAAATTGGTAATGATTGAGGGCCCTTTTGTGGTACAGTTGAAGACGAAATCTATATACAGCATGTACACATCCTGAATACACAATCTCTAAGGCCTTGCATAATTTCAAGGACTAATGGACTGAGCTAATTCCAACTTATATGCTTAACAAACTATTTAACCTACTGAACCCTCGAGCTTCAAGCTCATAAGTTGGTTCACCTCAGAACCAAATTCATCAGGAAGCTCATTGAACACATCACGGCAAAACCCAGAGATCATTGCGGCCATTGCTTTTTCATAGTCTATTCCCCTTTGTTGAAAATAGAACAATTGATCTTCTCCAATTTTGGAAGTACTAGCTTCATGTTCAATTCTTGCTGTTGGATTTTTCACCTGCAAAATAATCGTGATTTCATTAGCAAAACAAAAGTATAATGGCAATTACGGAAGCAAGGAGAAAATAAATAGAGAGAAGACAATGGGAAGTAATGTGAGTAAGGTGAGGCAGGGAAACTGCATAATAATGCTTTTGAAAAGGCAATAATAACTCCATAAAATTGATGACCCGCTCTATGATTTTGCAACCAACAATAAGCGATAGACCAAAACTAGTTTGGGTTTCCCTCTATCTCAACTTTACAAATCCAACATGTGGGTTTTGAACGTGAAGTTTTGCAAGACTAGACATTAATGGGTGGTGTGGTAACGGTCTGATCGGAGGTGACAATATGTTCAACAATAATCTTCCAGAGAAACTCTAATATCTTAAATTCTTAAGTCCAAAATAATGATTTCTTCAGTTCTAAACGATTGCTTATCCTCTCATTCACCCCTTCCTATTCTACCAAAACAAACATTTTCTCTGTTTCCTAACCAACGGCTACAAACAACAAAAGCCTATTCCAGTAGGTAAAGTAAGCCACATAAATAACACAATACCACTCTGTTTATCAAAACAAAACTAAAATCATTCTAGCAAGATAAATAAAACACAAGAAAATAAAAAAGGCTTGCTGGTACCGACCTGGATGTAAGGATAGGTATTAGCAGCTGCATTGTCCCCAATAAGCATAGAGTCACACTGCGATGAGTTTCGAGCATTATCCGCCTTGGACAGAACCTGAACCAGGCCTCTATAACAGTTCCTGGAATGTCCAACCGATATACCCTTGGAGATAATCCTACTCCTCGTGTTCTTCCCTTTGTGTATCATCTTGGTCCCCGTGTCAGCCTGCTGATAGTTATTCGTCAAAGCAACAGAATAAAACTCCCCAACACTATCATCTCCCTCCAACACAACACTCGGATACTTCCACGTGATCGCAGAACCCGTCTCCACCTGCGTCCACGATATCTTCGACCTCGCCCCGTCACACACCCCTCTCTTCGTCACGAAATTGTAAACCCCACCATTCCCATTCTCATCCCCAGCGTACCAATTCTGTACCGTCGAGTACTTTATCTGCGCCCCCTCCCCGCAGTACAACTCCACCACCGCCGCGTGGAGCTGGTTCCGGTCATAAGACGGCGCAGTGCACCCTTCCAAATACTCCACAAAGCTCCTGTCGTCGGCGACGATCAGAGTTCGCTCAAACTGCCCCGTCTCCAGCGCGTTGATTCTGAAGTAGGTGGAGATCTGCATCGGGCACTTGGTGTCTTTGGGAATGTAGCAAAACGAGCCGTCGCTGAAGACGGCGGAGTTCAAGGCGGCGTAGTAGTTGTCGTCGGAGGGCACGACCCTTCCTAAGTACTTGCGGACTAATTCAGGGTACTCTTTAATGGCTTCGGAGATGGAGCAGAAGATGACACCGGCCTTCTCGAGGGTTTTGCGGTGGGTGGTGGCGATGGAGACGCTGTCGAGTACGGCGTCGACGGCGACGTTGGCGAGACGCTTCTGCTCGTTGAGAGGGACGCCGAGCTTGTCGAAGTAGCGGAGGAGTTCGGGATCGGCGTCGTCGAGGGATTGCAGGGAGGGTTTCTTCTTGGGAGCCGAGTAGTAGCAGATATCCTGGAAATCGATGGGAGGGTAGGTGTTGTCGGACCAGGTAGGGACTTTCATGGAGAGGAATTTGTCAAAGGCCTTTAATCGGAATTCCAGCATCCATTGCGGTTCCTCTTTCAGGGATGAGATCAGACGGATGGTTTCTTTGGAGAGTCCTTTTGGGATTGAGAAGGAATCGATGTCAACGGTGAATCCGAACTTCTTGTCGTAGTCGCGATTGCGGAGGATTTCGCGGATCTTCTCGTCGGTGGAAGTGGCGGTTGCAGAGGTCTCTTTCACCTCAGCGCGGACCGTGACGTGGCGTGACGGTTTTGGGGGTTTGATGTTTAGGGTTGGGGGGAGAAGGAATTTGGGGTGGCGTGTGGGTTGGGGGGGTAAGGGGAAGAGGGAGACCCCGTTGCAGCGGAGAAGAGAAGCCATTGGATGAGGGTTGGTTTGAATACAGAGAAGAAAAAGGAAATTGGGACTTTGCTTCGTTCCCACTTATGTGTGGTCTAATGTGTCGTGTGTCGTGAGTGTGCGGTTGATTTTTGTAGAATGAGAAAATTGAAATTTGGAAATTTGATGGCCATTCACTCTTCTTCTGTCTTGTGTGCGTCACACACACACAAACCTTTTCTTTTGTGATTAAACCTTGTAATTAAAAATGCTAACGGTGTGTAGGTTGGTTGAAAATATTTGTGAACCAAACATATCAATTTTTAACCTTGTTTCTTACATTTTCATTCTATCTATTTATTTTCATATTTTGTCTATATACCAAACTCAGTCCATGTGTCTATTAAGCTTTATTTTAAGGTGGTCTAAGTAAAGAATGGGAGGAGTGAAAATTGAAGGGTGAAGAAAAGAGGGAGAGAAGAGGTGATCGGTGATGGCCAAAAAGCGAAAGGCCAAGAAAGCATCAAAACCCCAGAATGTAAAGCAGAAGAACCAATTCCAAACCCAAAACCTCACTGCTTTAATTTCCCAAGTAACGCACACAGCACACTCCTTTCTATCCCACAACGACATCCTTCTCCTCCCTTCCCAATCCCTCCGTCTCGAATCCCTAATCTCATCCCTTGTTTCCCTCTCTCCACACCCCAAACCCTCACCCCCTCTCTCTCCGCCGCACCGCGACTGCTGGTTCCGCCGCTTTTGCTCCCTCTCCGATTCTCGATGGCTCCACGCCTTCCGCATGTCCCACACCTCCTTCTCCCACCTTCTCCACCTCCTCTCCCCCTCCCTCGCCCCCTCCTTCCCCCACATCGCCCCCGACTGCGTCCTCGCCGCTGCCCTCTTCCGCCTTGCCCACGCCGCCCCCTACGCCGCCATCGCCCGCCGCTTTGGGATCGCGCCTCCGGAGGCCTGCCGTGCCTTCTTCGCTGTCTGCAAGGCGGTTCCCGACAACCTAGGACACCTCTTCGAGCTCCGCACCGATTCCGAGAGGGTCGTGGTGGGATTCGGCTGGAGTTCTCTGCCCAATTGTTTTGGGGTTTTAGGGTTCGCTAGGTTTAGAATTGACGATTCGTTGTTGGGTGAAAATGGGTGCTTGATGGTTCAAGCGTTGGTGGACTCCGAAGGGAGGTTCTTGGATGTCTCAGCTGGGTGGCCAAGTACCATGAAACCCGAAACCATTTTGCGTGAGAGTAAGATTTATCGCGAGGTTGAGGAATCCAAGGAATTGTTGAATGGACCGTGTTATAATCTCGACGAGGGTGGGTTGATTCCTCAGTATATTCTGGGGGATTCGTGTTTTCCCCTTTTGCCTTGGCTTTTGACGCCTTATAACAGAGTGAATGAGGAAGATAGTTTTGGTTCGGCTGAGAGGGCTTTCAATTGTGCTCATGGTCATGCAATGGAGTTGGTTGGGGATGCGTTTAGGAGGCTTCGTGCTAAATGGCAACTTCTCGCGGCCTCGAGGAAGTGGAGGCTAGAGTGTATTGAGCATTTACCGTTTGTGGTTGTTGCTGGCTGTTTGTTGCATAATTTTGTTGTCAAGTGCAATGAGGAAATGCCGGATGAAGGGGTGGGAAAGGGTTGCTTGGAAAAGGAAGATGGGTTTCCTGCTTTTGATGGGGTCGGGGATGTGAATGCAGTGAGGGTGAGGGATGCGCTTGCTTTGCATTTGAGTAGGATGAGTTCGAGAAAATGTGAATTTGTGGATGGAATATGAATATATGATATACACATTTTGATTGGTCAATTTGTTTTTTGGAATTGCTGGCAAGTGTTTGTGTTCTGCATTGAAGGATTGCTTGAGTAGAAAGAAATCTGCAATCAGCATAATTTTTCAATTGTCGTCTGTTACTGATGAGCTATTTTTTAAAATTGGCACAAAATTCTCTCCGATTCAGTGGAAGCCATTTAGATTTAATTTCTTGATGAATAGTTTTTTATTTTAAACCTGATAAGCAATCAAACATTCAGATATGTATTTGTCACATGCTTCCAGTTCTTGACAACTTACTAGGATTTTATTGATGAACAGACAGCAGTTGATAAGGATAAACCAAGGTCGCTCCTAATCACGATAAAAATGTATAGAACTGCTGCCGTTACCTTTAATGCCAAGCTATAATAACACTGCAAAGCTCACATAAAAACTTCCAAGTTAATGAAATCAGCCTTACTCTTTTCCCATCATACCTGTCAGTGGTAAATGACACGGTTGGTCACTAAAGAAAAACAATACAACTTTTCTGCTGTACAGGTCCACAAAGAAAAGGGCTTGAACCTGACTAGTTCTCACTTGTGTGCCACATCAAATACTTCCGCGTGGTTAATAAGAGGGATTCTTCAAGTTCCATAAATTGTTACGAGAAAGATTGGGTTGCAAATGGGAGAATGCGAATCAGATTTGTCTAGTTAGTTGTCAATTCCAAGTTCATGCAAGTTATTGCTCCAACTTTTCAAGAGACATCAAGCAAACGTCTGAATTATTTGCGATGGATCAGTGAAGTAGTTACTTAGCAACTACTATCCTGGGTGGTACAAGTCTTTAGGTTAAACTTCATTTGTCGGGGTGGTTGAAAACAAAAATGTAAATTTATCCAGATCTTAATACTATTGGTCCTTAAATAATTAAAACTTTCTTCTTTGTTTTATTCTTTCCACAAATTTGTAATGAATTTACACTGATATTCACATAGGGGAAAAAATATCAAAGAGCGAGATATAATTAAACTTTTGATAATTAATCTACTGATTTATTATTAACTGATATTTCAAGCATTAACACAGAAAGGCAATAGTTGATATTTAAGGGTTAGCTGGAGAGAAAGTGTACATATATCAAAACATGAAGATTTGGGCACCAAAGTATTAGCCACGAAAGTCCAACACTGTACATTTGTGAGTAGATAGCAGTCAGCCATGGTGTGACAATGAGCAAATCTCCATTTCTACGACAATGAATCTTCTGCCAGATTCCCTAAATGATGCTGTGGTTGAACTCACTACAGTAACAAGATGGAAACTTATGAACGTGTTCCATCAAAATTGAAGCTTAGCCGATGAACATTTCTTTACACAGTTTAACCAGCAAGATAATAAACCCTTGAAGCCAGAACCTGATGAACTGCCTTCCCCTCTTTCTACAACTCTAACAAACTCGCCCACGCTTAAGTTTCCGTCACGGTTAGCATCAAACAGATGAAAAATTATGTCAACCACTTTATCTGTAAGATCGACACCACAAACCTGCGTGAATTGAACATAGCACGTAAGAAGTTATTCGTGAATTCAAAATGGTTTTCATTTAGACTGGGATAGGGAGTTTTTAGTACTTGAGATGCCGCTCTCTGAAAATCAGTTTTTGTCAACACCCCATTAACTTTTCCATAACTGAATATGGCCAGAGAGAAGGGTTGCAACTTCTTCCGCAATTCTGCAAAACTTTGAAACTCCTTATATGTAAGTCTTGAGTCTCTTAGCTGCTGGTCCTTGTTTAATTCTTCGACCCTATCCAACAGTTTCCTTATGTGATTGACGTCTGCAGATGCCACCAAGGACAGGGCAAAATCTTTGGCTGAAATGGTTCCTTTCTTTTTGTAGTCATAATGGGAAAACTCTAACCTCAATATCTGTAAATTGAATTACAAGAGCAGTTTGATGTTAGTAATCAAAAAAATTTCAATCTTTAAGGATGCTCGATCACACTGATTCAAAAACTAAAAACTTCAACACGTATCAACATATTTTGGTGAAGTTGAGTTGAATTTTCAGCGGAGAGTTCTAGTTGCTAACAAGATGGTTGAGTGTTTTAGTTATGGAATAGAACTCAGCATATATATTCTTAATGTAAGACTTTTTAACCCACATTTACAACTCCAACACTTACGTGTGACACCAATGAAACATTCCAAAGACAGCATAGCATAAACTCACGTACCTCCTCATGCAGCTCTCTTAAGAATTGAACAAATCTTTCATGTTGTAAGCATGAAGTTCCATGTTCGCCGAAAAAATACTCCAAGAGACCCCCATTTTCTACAGAAGTTTTAATGCCAAGGCGTCGTCCATTTCTGTGAGTAGCCCCTTGTCTGTTTTGTGATCGCATCAAGGCCATCACTTTCTTGAATTCTTGCTTGTCTATTTCCCTGTTGACAAACTCTTCTTAAAAATAATCAGATGTCCTAAACTTAAAACAAAAATCCAAATTCTTCTACAGACAGATCAGACTAGTAATCCCAATCCGTTTGACATTGTAAGATGAAACTTAATCTTGTCTACAGTTGTCTGTCTTCATGCCTGTTTCAATTAAGGACCATGATATATTCACAACTGCATAAAAAAAACCTAAAAAACAACTCTAATATATTAATATAATAATGGTAAAAGGATAAGATGGAAATAAAATTAATATTATAATATTAAAACAGGTTGTAGATTGAATGTTTGAAGGAAATCCGGTGTCAAAATAGTTTTTTCCTTCAATTAATATCTTAACTCTATAATACACTCAACCTGTTATGTGGTTTGTTCTATACAGAGAATGTCACATTAAATTTGCGTTAACAGTAATATGATTGACTTGTTAGAGTGTGAGCCATTTAAAACACTACTGGTGTTGTCAAATTTACAATTAATTTCCTTAACTAAGTGATAGAGGACAAGACACATTGTAAAAACATCCATACTAAATTATGGATAGTTTCACTGGCGTGTCAAAAGAGTTCTTGAGGTACACACAACACAACGTACCGAAGCTCATTGGAAATTCCATCAACCAAATTGAAGGCCAAAGCTTCATGCAATTTGTAAATACAGCTTATTACATATAAGAAGGAAGGAGAAGTTCCTACCCGTTGTTATCAATGTCAAACATTTTAAAAGCCACTGAAAAGCTGGACTCTGGTATGCTGAGGAGAGTAACAAAAAATATATACCTGGTGCCAAGAAAGGAGAGTAGTAGTTAGCGAAATTACATAGCATTAGTACTCAGAAGTGGTTATGACAGATGTTTCAAGCAAATACTCACTCTGCAAAGGAAATGAGTCCATCATTGTTAGTGTCAAAGAGCATAAAAAATTGTGAAGGTTCACACTGTAACTCGCCAGGAACCTGCTCCCCTAATAGAAAACCCTCTCTAACACGGTTTGATTCAGAAGGAGGAAAGACAGGAACGATGGCACGCATCAAATCTGCAGGTGTCATAAAAACCTCACCACTAGGAGTTTGAACAGATGCAAAGTACTCGAAAACCTGCACTTAACAATTAGCTGCTTTGTTAAGCTAAACAACAATGACTGATCATTATACAAATACATAATGACAAGATTGTTAACCTTTTCAGGGGGACTCTGCAAGCGAATGCGTTTTTCATAATTAAAGAATACTCTCCTTCTAAAGTTATCTGCATCAAATCAGAAGCATAACAAATCTAAATATCTGCAACAAAGCAATAAATTAACAATTAAACTACAAAAATCCTATGTCTATCGATTATAATTAACGGTAGATATGACCTTTGAATTAGTTACTACGGAAGACAGTAATTATTGATTATAAGTCAAACGTTTGAGCACTATCATCAAGTTTCGTGCAGAAGGTTCCAATTAAATTCAACTTCTATTCTCTCCAATCCTAACAATCTAGTCCATGGTACTTATACTAAAGGTTAAATTAAGAAGAAAACAATAATAATTGCAAATAATGTCAAAGAGGTTATACCAGTTTACATATTCTCTGCTCAATCAAATGAATTAAAACCTTAAAAATTGCAAATTGAATTTTAAAAAAAGGAAATCAAGCACTAAAATCACAAAATAAACGTAATAAAGATGCAACATGCAACGTAAATCATTGATGAATATGAGGGCACCATTAAAGAGAAACTTGGAGGGTTTGTTCCGAGGCTTCTGTTGGAGCTGATCCTTATTGGCAGAATCACCAGATGGCCCAACAGAACTGGTATCATGAGAAGAGAAAGATGACCAATACAAAAAGCCTAGGGTGGAGCCAACAATCAGAATCCCAGAACTGACTACTTTAACAAAGGTCTCAAATTCTCTGCCGCTATTGTCATCATGTGTGAACTCATCAAAGGAGCTGCAAGATGAAAAAGAGCCTTGTGATTGGCTGCAGAACGGCCTTATGTTATGCCGCAGAGAAAGTTGGAATCTTCTACCCAAAGAAAACATGCTAAAGAGAGTGAGATTAATGTGAAAGTGGGATTACAACAACACAGGATTTATGGAAAGTGGACAGAGGCAGAGGTGTCGCTGAAAACGTTGGAAGAGGAATTTGAGGGTGCAACGAGAAAACGTTGGAAACTAACAACAGTGATTGGTGTGTGCACGGGTGGAGCGGCAAATGTGTGGTTCTTTCACTCAAATTCTAAGTTGCTATGTTAGTTAGTGGTTATCATTTCTCATTCAACTTCCCCGTCGTCCAAAATTACTGTCTTTTACAGATGTTCGAAAATAAAAATTCTTCCTTTAACAACAAGAAAACTTGTAATATATTATTTCTTTTGTGTACCATCATCCTTTTCTTCAAGACTCTTTGCTAAGTAGAATTTAATTTTGTTAGATTCGCACATTCTTGGACTGTTAGGAGGAGGATATTTCTTCTACAGTTTTTTTTTTTAATATTTTATTGTGAATAATTTATACCAATAATACGACTAAAAAGAATATAGAGTTTTTGAAAAATTCAATGTTACTAGAAAAATATATTGTTCAATGTGTTTGTTTAATTTTTAGAAAACAGCATTCTCAAGCTACAATAATGATTTTACTAATTTTCACACAAACATTTTTAGAGAGAGACTATAATCTACGTTTTTTTAGTTAAATATATATTTTTATTATATAGAAAAATTGTGGTACTTTTATTATTAAATTGTTTTATATGATAAAGAATTAAAATTTTAGTAAAAACAAAAAAAATACTCTTTTATAAAATAAAAAAAACTATATAAATATTTTTTACCAAATATATAAATATACAGACGCGAGTCTCTAACTCAATTCCCTTATTTTCCCTCTATCTTCTCTTCTCTCCAGCGCCTCCTCCCTCAGCCACACCCACGCAGCCACCACGTCTCCTCCCTCTCACGCCATGCCAGCAGTCATCGGTCTCCAGCCACCACCGTGAAGCAGCATTCGTCAGTCACCACCGCGACGCCGTAAAACCAGTAGCCGACGTCCAGGAAGAAATTTGAATTTGAAGAAGAAAGACGAGAGAAAGGAAGGTTTTGAACAAGTATTGCCCACCGGACTTTGATCCTCCAAGCTTCCCAGAGCAAAAAAGGCCCAAAAACCAGCCGATGAAGGTTCGCATGTTGCTTCCTTTGATGTAATACTTGCGGCAATTATATCTACAAAAGCACAAAATTCAATTACAGAAAGGAAGATGTTATTCGCGAGACATATATGGGAATTCAAATATTCAGTTCTACTTGCACCAAATGCTCAGCTGAAGTTACCATGAAGACTTATCTGCAAAATTCGGATTACATTGTCGAATTTGGTGCGACCACAAATTTTAAACCTATGAAGAAGCTGATAAAATGAAACAGAAGAGGATACTGAAGAGATGGGAGATGCTATGAAATCGTTAGAGAATAAAACCCTGGATTCAAAAAGGGAGATGGGCATCCTTGCTGAGTTGGATGATATGAAAGCAATGAAGTCTAGGCATGCAACTGTTTCTGTTGATGAAATGCTGGAGACTCTGCAGCACACCACATCTGATAAGGAGAAGAGGCTAGAAAAAAGAAGATGAAGTAGAGGTTATGTCAGAATAATTCGTGACGAAAATATTGAAATTGATGAGCAATTGGGTCAGCTTTCAAATAGACATGGTAAAACATTCCGTTATAATCCAAAGAAACAAAAGATTTCAAAGATCATCCAAGCAAACCAAGTGGCACTCAGACAAAGCTAGTTTGAATTATCCAGGTAAACAAGAAGATGCATGGTTGGAAAGTGATGGAAATATTACTTTATTAATAAAAATTAGGCAGTGTAAAGTGTTGGAAATATTATTTTATTATTTTTTTTATTTAAATTAGTTAGTAAGAGATTTTATTATTTACAATACAGAAGGTAAAAAAATATTAAGTTATTATTTTGATTTAGGTAGATATGATTAAAATATTATTGATATTTGATACTTTGTAATATTTTTACTTTGTATATACATAGAATACATGAATAGAAATATACACACATACACATGATATATCAGAAATACATATATACAAAACCCTAAAGTTCCCATAGTGGTATTAGAGATTTGATTCGATACAATGAAAGGAGAAAAAACAATTTCACAAGTCGTTATTCTAGTTTTTTACGGCAAAAGTTATGATTTATGGGCTGTGAGAATACAATCCTATCTTGAAGGATTGAATGTATAGGAAGTTGTAGAAGAATATTATATTATTGATCTACTACCTGAAAATTTCATCATAGATGAGAGAAAGAAAAACAAGAAAGACAAAAGTTAAATCAGGTCTGTTTGCTAGCGTTTCACAAATGATCCTCACCAGAATCATGACGTTAAAGTCACCCAAAGAAATCTGAGATTATTTGAAATATCAATATGAAGGGGATGAGAAAATTTGAGGTATGAAAGTTCTAAACTTGATAAGGAAATTTGAGATACAAAAGATGGAAGAGTCTTGAACAATTAATGAATACTCAAACAAATTATTGGGTATTGCTAACAAAATAAAATTGTTAGGCTAGGAATTTTCTGATTCTAGAATAGTTGAGAAAATTCTGGTAACTGTGCTAGAAAGATATGAAACATCTATTGCTTCATTGAAAAATACAAAGGATTTGTCTAATATTACTTTGGCAGAAGTGCTACATGTTTTACAAGTGCAAGAACAACAAAGATTGATGAGAGGAGATCATGCTGCTGGTGAAGGTTTTTTACTATATCATGATGGGGGTTCTCTCCAAGCCAAGAATAACAAAGGTACAAAATCACGAGTACTTTCTGTTTGTCCTTATTGTAAGAAAAATAATCATACACTTAACAAGTGTTGGTGGAGGCCTGATGTGAAATGTCGAAAATGTAGTCAATTGGGACATATAGAAAAGATATGCAAATCACAACCAGAAGAAGTTGTCAAGATTATAGATGATGGAATAGAAGGGGAACTTCTTGAAGTTATAGAGGATGGAGTAGAAGGAGAGTTTCTCCCTGCATCAACATGCTCTACAAACAACAAATCCACATGTTTGCTTATAGACAGTGGTTGTACAAATCACATGACTCATGATCGAGAATTTTTTAAAGAGCTCAACGAATCACATATTTCTAAAATGAGAATCAGTAATGGAGAACAAATGAACGTGAAAGATACAGGAACTTGGGTATCAAATTAATTTTTGATGTTTTATATGTTCCTGATAATAATCATAATTTGTTAAGTGTTGCTCAATTATTTGAGAAAAGTTATAAGGTGTCTTTTGATCACAAACTTTGTGTGATTAAAGATACAAATAACTTCAAAATATTTAAAGTTCACATGAAAGGAAAAAATTTCACTTTAGATTTGATGAAAGAAGAGTTGATTACAAATGAATATATAAAAGAAAAGTCAAAGAAAAAGCATGAAGAAGATTTCTTGAAGGAACTTGATGTTAAGGAGGAAAATAAAGATGTAGATAAAGAAACAATTTTTAACGTCCATCAAAGAGTCAACTGGTACTACAAAGAAAGAAGTTTGAAAGAAATAAAAAGATGAAGTTAATAAAGGAAGAAATACCTTGATAAAGAAAATAAAGTTGAACGAAGATGTGATCTCATACAAAAAGGAAGATGACAAAAAGGACAAACAAAAAAGAAAGAAAAAATAAAATAAAATAAAAATATAAAATTCAAATAAATAGATATTAAAGTAAGGAGGAATATTGAAAATATTATTTTATTATCTTTTATTTAAATTAGATATTAAGTTATTTTATTATCTTTTAAAAGAGAAAATAAAAAAATATTATATTATTATTTTGATTTAGATAATTAAAATTGAGATATTAATAATATTTAATATTTTATAATATTTTTATTTTATAAATACATAAATAAAAATATACACACATAATAATATAAAAGAAATATATATATACACGCATAAGAAAGATTATATCTTTAGTGAGGATTTCTGTCACTAAGAAACCAGTTACCTCTTACCTTAAAAGTCCCGCACAACCAGAACAAAAGAATGTGGGAGATTGGTCGACTACAATCTGTGTCAGATTTATGGAAGTGATGACGAGGATTAGTAGTCATGAGTATTGAGTGACTTTGTTTAATGGCAAGGAAGCATAATAGAGGAAAAGAACGTAAATTTTCTGTTCTGCATAATTCCGGGTTAAATATTAAGTCACTTATAGAATTTGAATATTATTGTATTTTTAACAATTAAATAAGTATAAATTAAACATTAAAAAAACATTAATTACTAATATTTATGGATTAAATCATCCATTTTAATCACTAATTCTGGTACGAAGAGGGAGCTAAATAAAAAAATTTAATGTTATAAGAATTTTCTCATACACAAAATAGAAATAAAATTATAATATATAATGAGTTGAATATTCACCTTACTAAATAGATTAATTTTTAAGATGATATAAAAGTTAATTTTAAAAATATTTAGATATTAATTATGATTAAAATTATTTATTATTGGATCACTCATTTTTTAAGGGAATCATTCATCTTCTAAAAAGTGTGAAGAAAAAATTATCATTAAATGTTAAAAAATCTCACATCAACTAAAAATATAATAATATTATAATACATAGGTAAATATAATATTTATCTTATTAAACCAATTTTGATTTTGTAGGATTAAATTAAAAATTAGATAGATTATATCTTTTTAAATTTTAAAAGATTGTTGGTTGATGATAAGAAAAAAATTTCCTAGATAATAAATGTCCATCAAATTTTGAATTAAATAAGAATTTAAAATTATTCTTATATTCAAATTTTGAGAAAAAGTAAGAGAATAAAAAATTGATTCCTTACATTCTCTTCCAAAAAAAAAATTATAGGTTGATGTAGTGAAAAATTCTAGTTTGATGCAGTGACTCTTGCTCAGGTTATATATATATGGAAAATGAGTAGGGACTGTGTAACCCCATTCTTTTACCCCTTCTAGTCCTTTAAATAATATTAATTACACTTTTTTATATATTAATATTAATTTATTTTGTGTGTGTATGTGTGAACCTAGATTTCCTCCAGCTAAAAGTTAGGAAATTATTCATACAAGTTCCAACTACTTAGATTTATTACAGAAATTGATAAAAATATGTATATCAGTATATTCTTATGTAGTAGTTATTTTTCGTGCATGCAAATACTATTATATAGATCATTCAAGTAAATATCACAGATCATAATATATTAAAACAAGATCTTCTAAGTTCATCTTCTTTTCATATAGCCCTGTGTCTATATGTTTTTAATTTTAATCTGTTCAAGTTTTCTTCTTCTTCTTTTTTTCTTTTACAATTTTAAAATAATTTATCCTTAAAATTTGAATGGAATGTTTTAAACTTATGTAATATTAAATTTAGTTAAAATTTATAATGCACACATTTTGAGATAGTAGTAAATATGCACAGAACTATAGGTGTACATTAAGGAAGTAGTAGTACTGCGCCACTTCCCCTTTCACTATTTTGGTCCATTTGTCTAAACAATCAATTCATCATTAATATCTCACGTGATATCAGTTGGATTCGGCCAAGTTCATACATAGTTCTCTGTCTACTCCAGCTAAGCCATCAGATTTACAAATTAAGATCATTGACCAACCATGCCTACAACCTTTGAACGAAATCAAACAAAGTAGATGATGTTTAGGTAGATCAAACCCAAGGGTACTAACACAACCCTGGTTCAGTTTCTTCTGATAAGTTGTAAGTCAGAAGCCATATTTTATGATGACACATACTAAAATTTGTTATGATGAATACTTTTGTGTTAAACTTTGTAGGATAACAATAATTGATTTGAAGAACAAAAGTAAAAGTCTTGTGATTTAAGAACGAAACTCTTCTTATCTATAACATGATGTCATGTCGACTGTTAAGGACTGTGGCATGTGCAGCCATATATTTTGATTTGGACCAAACCAGAGGATGTAACTGCATACTCTGCAGGTAACTTGCCGTGTTCTTTGGCTTCTGAAATGACTTGATGCCATTGGTTTGCTACTAAAGTGGTTTTAGCATCCATCTTCTCTCATCAATTATGTGGTGGAAGGACAATTGCCCCATCAATTGTGACTTCATTGAACCAATTACTTCATTGTACCAGAGCAAGACCGACATGGGATGCTTACCAAAATAGTTATTATTCCTAGTCAATTTATATGGCTTCTCTTCCCCTCCTGTTTTTTTCTCGTATTCATTACTGTTACATAATTAAAGTGGCAGGTATGTGCTAATCAGTAGACTTGAAAATTCAAGGTGTGGGTCATTTGGACTTTTTCTTGGACTGTGATCGCCAAAATAGGTAGTAGGTTACCAAATTGATTTGCCTTAACTACTTCCCATTTCATGGGCCCTTCATGGCTTTAATTAACTTTAACCCATGTTACGCAAACTTAAGCCAAGCACTGTCATAATTTAGTGACTAAGCACCACAAAGAGACACTGTTTTTAGATATTTTTATCCCAGCTCTTGTTCACTTCCTAGTTCCTAGCGCTAAGTGGTTGTTAGTTGTAACCTGTATACATAATATGGCTGCAATAGGTTCTAACTTTGTTTGAGAATGAAGAGGACCTTTTGTAATATTCTCATAATCCCTACTTTCTAATTCCCGTGAACCTTCGTTACGATAATACGTTAAAAAATTCCGCACACGAAATTATTGGCTGTTGTCACTCTCAATCTCAACTACCATCCAAACTTCATCATCATAAAAAAAAGGCAGGTAGTGCAAGCAAATGGTCTCAAAAACCAAAATAAATAGCCATATACCGACCACATTTATCATTTATACACTGATTCTATTATCTCAATCTCCAATCTCCACTCCTCCTTATCTATCTATATACCTTATATATCACGATGCCCACCACCTCAAACCTTAGCATATCCTACCCTTTTGGCACTACCCCATCAGCATCAGCATCATTAGCCATGGACTGGTTCTCCTGGCTATCCAGAACCACTCTTGAGCCCTCCTTAATCTACGACTATGGCCTCACCTTTGCACGCAATGAGCTTCAATTGGAGGATGCTTGCTACTTCAACCACGAGTTTCTTCAGAGCATGGGCATCTCAATTGCCAAGCACAGGCTAGAGATTCTCAAGCTTGTGAAGAAGGAAGGAGGAGGAAGAGGAGGAGGTCGTCCCAAGAAGCTCTCTGGGGTCATCAAGAAGTGTCTTAGGAAGTGCATGAACAAGTTTGTTTCTCGTGATGGTGATCATGTAGTGAAAGGCGTGCCCTCCTTGATGCCTGTGTCAGTGACACCACCTGATATTAATTGGTATCAAGGGAAACTAAAAGGGTCACCAATTGTGAGGAAGCAACTAGAAGGGTGTGAAGATGTTAAGGAAGAAAAGCCTCTACCTGTGCCCCCCATGTACAGAAGCAGAACCATAGCACTTTCAGGACCTTTGGATGGCAGTAGAATCATGCACGACAAAATGGTCCACAACAGGGCCTTGAAGCTATCTGGACCACTTGACGGAAGAATGCATGAGAGAATCATGAACTGTAATAGAAGCCCCTTAATACCTAGGCCTTTGGATGCAAGATTCTTAGCCGCAACAAAGAGTCCAAGAGTGTCTGGGCCTCTGGATCCAAGAGTCACGGTTGAGAACAAAAGCCGAAGACTGCGAAGGCCTTCGGACTCAACAAGGGCTGACATTGAAAGCCCAATGAGTTACAGTCCTTATAACAAGCCCAAAGCTGATTTTGATTATGACGATGACCACACACTCTGGCCTTCACTGTTTCAAGATCTGAAACCAACTTGATTTTGTTTTTGCCATTCCTTTTTTTGCCGTGCGCTTTGATGGTGAGTGGCGCTTATATTTTCATTCTTTTTCTTTCATAATAGGCTATTTTATGATACAAACAATGTCATGTTTTGCCTCTCAACGGTTTCTTGTATTCATTGTCCCTGCTTCTGCGACCACTTGTTAATACATTATTATTTTTTTATCCGAGGATGATATCATATTATAAAGTAACTGTCCAAGATGTAGATATGAACAACAATTATGTTTATTTATGTCATGTTGATAAACATAGAATATACGATTACAAATACCGTATCATGTCATGATTCTACATGATTAATTTTTTCCATATTTAGCTTGGCATGACAGCGATGCACAGTGATGCACATTAATGTCATATCTGTTAATAGACAAATTTAGGATACCGACTATAATGGTTAGCGTAATTATAGCCTAGAATGTTTCTGTATTTCATGTATATATTGTACTATCATATTCAATACAAGACAGGGGGTTTTTGGAAATATTTTTATCATGGTATCAGAGCGAACCAAACTTTGATATCCAACAGTCCGAGAACACAATCGTACTTCTAAAATGGCAGAGAGAGGAGAGACGGTGAAGAAAACACCATCGCCATACGATCTGAGTGCCAGTGATAATCCTGGAAATGTGATTACACAGGTACAATTACGAGGAGAGAATTACGAGGAATGGGCAAGGGCTGTGAAGATATCTCTCGTGGCTCGAAGGAAATGGGGTTTCATAGATGGAACTCATAAGGAACCTGAAGAAGACACATCCGAGATAGAAGATTGGTGGACAATTCAATCGATGCTTGTATCTTGGATACTAAACACTATAGAACCTAGTTTGTGTTCCACTGTTGCATACATGGAAAACGCAAAGGACCTATGGGATGACATCAAGGAACGATTCTCGATCGTGAACGGACCAAGAATCCAAGCAGCTAAAGTCGAGTTGGCAGAATGCAAACAACAAGGAATGACTATGGTTTCCTATTATGGGAAGTTGAAAACGTTGTGGGATGAACTGGCAAATTACGAGCAAATCCCACAGTGTAGATGTGGGGGATGCAAGTGTAATATTATGACGCAACTTGAGAAACGAAGAGAAGAAGAAAAAATTCATCAGTTCTTGATGGGGCTAGATGATGAGGGCTATGGAACTGCACGGTCAAATGTTTTGGCAACAGATCCATTACCCTCGTTGAATCGGGTGTATGGCACCATGGTGCAAGAAGAAAGGGTGAGAACAATCACCAGGTCTAAAGAAGAGCGAGGAATGATCGTGGGAATGGCTATGCGAGCGGAAACCAGGAACAAGTTGCGCAATGAAGCGAAAGAAAAATCAGTTGTTTGCATGCAGTGTGGAAGGAATGGACATGACAAAGGCAATTGCTTCAAGATCATTGGTTACCCAGAATGGTGGGGAAAGAGACCACGAACCGATAAAAACGATGAAAAAAATCAACAAAGAACAGGAACCTTCCGAGGAAAAGGAGGAACAGCTCGCGTCAACTTTGGTTAATATATGAATAGGAAAGAAATTCATTGAGATCAACTAAAGTTTCTCCGGAAAGTAATTAATTTTTTTTCCTGGGAGCTATGCTCATTCAAAGGGATTAAGGCTAAAGTCCAAAGATCAGTTTCAAGCGGCACCAAATTAAAACTAAAAATACTACATTTTTACATTTAATAATAAGTAACACATTTGAAGCTCATTAATAGTATAATTAATCATCATCACATATGTTGAAGTACATGATTGTTCCAAGCATATCTCATACATTAGTTACCCTACAACATGTGTATGCAGATCACGTATCGCACATCCTTTACCTTCATCACTGCTCAGTGGTCAGCGTCATATCCCAACATGCATACTAAACAAGCATTCTACACTTAAAATAACAAAATTCAGAACCTGATTATACTAACTAAACCAACATTGTCAAACGTTTGAAGCCAACATGTTGAGCATATAATGGCAGACCAGGAAAAAGCAGCCACACAGGGTTTGTCTAGAGAAGAAACTAAGTGGTGTGCTTTGTATGCTATTCAACTTCAGTAATTTTTAGTGGCCTGAAGCTTGAGGTAGCTTAAACGAACCACCGGAATAAAGCATTTGGTAAACGGGCTTAATTCTTAGAGTCAAGATAATGCTGGAGAGTGCACCCGCGACACACACACCAGCCAGAGTCAAAAAGGTTAGCTTAAAACAACTTGGACCCATACATGCAACACCTGAAGCAATGAGGCCTACACCATGTTGCTTTGTGGCCTCATTATCATAGATGTGTCCTGCTAGAAGAGCTGAGAAAAGTAATGCACCAAGTGGGTTCCCTAAAGCCATGAAGTTGCTCAACATACCAAAGTGTTTCAATCCAAAAAGCTCCGAAACAGTGGGAATCACTATGGAAAATTGCACGCCATAGCAGATACCAAGAACAGCAATTGCCGGATAAAGGGTTCCATTGATAGCATAGGCAAACAGAAGGTACAAGAAGATCATAATTATCTGCGTGCATGTCATCCAAATTGTCCTTGGAATCGTTTTTGTCCTGCAAATTGTCAAAATAATTCTATTTTAGTCATGAGTCGTCGTTCATTTTTAGATGATCAGAGAATAATAGTACGTGCATATAAAAAAATTACTGTAATTCATAAGTCTATCAAGTTTTATAATGAATATGTTATAAAATATATTAAAGTAATCTCTGAGTGATTGATATATAACTATTAAATTCTAAAAGTAAACATCCACTTCAACTCAACACAATTGCTACTACTTACCTTTACTTTAACAAATTAGAAATGTCTACTCTAGCGTTCTAATGCATTGTGACGTGGAAAACAGCAAAGAACATTTGCCACTCAAAAGTAGCACGGAATCTTATCCGAAATTATTACAATGATCTCTTACCTGATATGGGCGTGAGAGTAAAATTTTAACTTAACCGAGATTAATTAGTTACCTGACAAAATGTTCTGAAACAACTCCTCCACCAAGCCGACCCACAAAATTGAAAAAGCTGAATAGTGACAGCAAAATTGTGGTATCTTCAATACCTTGTGCAATGCCTATCTGAGCCAAGTTATTGAGAACAGTAACTCCGGTTCCAACACCAACAAAGTAAACAAAAAACAGTAGCCAGAAATCTGCTTTTACTAGAGCCTCAGTAAACTTAAAATCTTCCCCTCTCTTGGGCCTTCTCTTCTTCCTCACTGCCCCCTCACCCTCAGCAAGAAGCATGGCCACCTCAGCTGAACCGTCCACATCATTAAAACTTCCAAGGCCACTGGCTGATGAAGCTGATAGCAAGGGCTCTATGTTGTCCACCTTGCCATCTTGAACCAGAAAGTCAGAAGATCCAACATGTTCCTCTGGTGTTTCTGTTGTTGCAGATGCTTTTCTGGGACACAGTGTCATCTTTATAGGGATAGCAAGGGGAGCCAAGAGAAGGAGAATCATCACCGCCAGCATAACATATGACACTGTATCACTTATTGGGACAAAGTTGTTGAGTATTGTTGTTGTAAGTAAGTATAAACCCAAGGCTGCACTAGCACCTTGGATGAACAGAAAATGCCCGTTTTCAGAAGAATCTTCACCAGAAGCAGGAGTACAAGGCCGAACAAGAAACATGGTACTGAAGCATAAAGCAGGAATACCAATAGCAAGGAATAACATGAAGTCGGGTGAAGAATTGTGAAAAACCACGCTGTAAATTTCAGTAAAAACTGCAGCACTGAGTCCAGAATAACCTTTCAGGATTCCTGCAACTGTGCCTCTGCTGACAGGGAAATTTCTCATGTTGGTGACAAGAATAGCAGTAGATAACCATGCACAACTGTTGGTAGCAACAGCAAGTGCAAGCCATAGCTGCAACACCATAGATAGAAAAGAGTGAGAATCAATTAGGCCGATTCAATACCATAATAGTTATTAAATGAACCAAACAATAATACAATGAAAAGAAAATTTTAGATATAGGAAAAAGAAAACAAACAAGGATTCTCAGTTTCAAAACAAGCTATAAAATGATCGATACTATGGTTATTCTCTAATAAGTCCTGGTCCTACATAATTCCTTCCATTTTTGTCTCGGATCAATTTTGTCTAAAGATATCAAATACCCAACAACCAATAAGGCCATAAAGCAGAACTATCTGTGTGCTCCAATTAAAAAAAAAAAAAAAAAAAGAGAGACAGAAAATTGTTGATATGAATTTAAAAAGAGATGAAGATGAAGTTACCAAGATGAAAGGAACGGAATCAAGTGTTTTAGTAATACCAAGCCAGAGAACACCAAAACCAAGTAATGATAAGAGACCACCAATAAAAAGAATGAGCCAAGGAGGGAACTTGTTGCAGGCGAGACCAGGAAGAATGCCAACATTCTCACCAATATCATTGGCAACACCAAGCAGAGTTATTTGGCTCTGGTTGAAACCCAAAACGGATTTCAAGGAGTGAGAGTAGAGAGGGAAAGTGTAGCCATTTCCTGAACAAATCTGAACCCACACGGCAGCTCCAAGTCCCACCCAAGGTGGCCTTTTCCCTTCCTTCACTCGCAACATTTCCCTCGCTTCTGCTCAACAATCGCACACGCAGAACACAGAACACCAAACTTCTTGCCTTCACAAAACGGAGAACCAAAGCAAAACAGATGGCCAGAAATAATCAATGTCAGAGTCAGGAAAAATAAAAAAAATCTGAGTTGTGGTCACCGTGGCCTACTTGCAAGGGCCAAGACTTCACTACAAAGTTAAAAATTGAATATAATACAATTGTGTTGAGCTAAGGATTTGTGATGAAATTTACTTTTGTGGAAAATAACGATTTATAATATTTCACTAAACACATTCGATCTAGGATTCATAAAGCAGTTGTTTTACGGTTGTTGTCGATTGTATAAATTTAAATTTCCTAAATTTCCGTCAAGTGAACGTGTGTGTACTGATTGGCTTGGAGACAAAAGTCTTGAACTTGGTTATGGGGGTGGTGAGATGCACCTTCCTTGGAATCTATTTTTGTGTCGTAGTATTTCCTATGCTTAGTTTATTTCTTGGATCTTCGGGCACTACTAACCCGTCCCATGTGATGTGCTTAGTGATCTTAGGATGCTTCGCATTTGTTTAACATGGGTGGTTCTTCTGAGGCAATGTGGATCATTCGTGTTTGAGGAGGTTGAGAAGCATATTTCTTCATCAACGTACTTCAACATCCCCATTAGAAATGATTTATACAGAGCAACATAAAGAAAGAAGATATCACACCTCTATACAAATTTTCCTCTCTAAATTATAGCTATTATGTGATGAGTACGATTCACCGTTAAACTTTACTAATATTATATAATAAAGTAAAAAAAAAAAAAGATGGGGTTGAGTGAGTAATAAGTTTAATAAAAACAATAAACAATGCAAAAAGACTATTAAGATTCATGGATGAAGAAAAGAAACCCTTGGAATATCAACATCAATTATTTTAAGATGTTGTTTATGAATGCAGTTTTCTCAAAAAAGGGAAAGCAACTTTTTTTTGCCTTTGATTTCTAGTTTAGTTTTTGAAGTAGGCGGAGGATGTGGAAACTGAAAGCACGTTATATTTTTTTTAGTTTAAGTTCTTCATGGCTTCACGTGAATGAAAAATAATTTTGTTTATATGTAAACAAAATTATTATTTTAATATTTTTGACATATTCAAACAAAAAATTTATACTTCTCTTTTAATTTTTTTATACACCCATTCATCAATATCATTACTATTTTTTTTATTTCTTGCGAATATTCATCATCTTCTCTTTCCATGTTTAACCCAAGGCAACCCGTGACAGAAGGTTGATAGAAAATGATAAATGAGAAATTAAAATAAAAATAAGAATTTTATGGTTGCTTGGGTCGTCAATTTTGATTTGACTGTGGGTGCAGTTGAAAAACCAAACAAAAATAAAATAAAATGGTAGAATTTCTCATATGTGATTTCAATGGTTAAACATTTCAATGGAATCAGTTAAATGCTTCAATCATACGCGTGAGGGAAAGTGATTAAACATTTGAATGGAACGAATTCGTGCTTAAATCAGCGTTTAGTTTTTCAATGCACCCACCATAGTGTCGTATAAGAAAAATCAAATCAACTTTTATTTTCACATTTCTTTTACTCAATTATAATAATTATATTATTATTTTATTTTAAATTTTAATTACATAAATAGAGTTTATCAAATATAATATTTTACTTGTTTTATTTATTTTTTTAAATATTCATCAAAATCTATTAATGTGTCACCATATTAAGTTTCATGGTTCTAATTTATTCATAATAATAACAACTTTTAATTTATATATAATAGTGAAAAAACATACATCCATTTGCTTTGCTTTTACAATTTTTATTTTAATAACTTAAAATCTAATATATATATATATATATATATATATATATATATATTAAATATTTATTCTTAAAATTATACATTTGTTAAAACATGCGCTTGAATAAATAGAAGAGAAAATATATATAATAATTAATTTATTAAAAAATGAACAAAAACAGTTTAAAAAATTATATATATATACATATATATATAAATCAAATATGTAAAAATTAAAAAATATAAATTTATTTATTTTATTAATTTATAATTATAAAAATTGTTATGAAATATTAAACCTAGATAAAAATATATATAAAAAAATCAATGATAAAAAAATATTGTTACATATTAATTTTAAATATAAAAATTAAAATAACATATTTATAAAAATTCAATGATTAAATGAATTAATTTAAAATATAAGAATTAAAATATGTAAATAAAAGATACTTATCCTTAATTTTTTTTAATTTTTTTTTTGTTATACCATCTTATAATTCCACTTCAGAATGGCTATGTCACATTAATGCATGTTTGTTTGAAAATGGATTAAATAATAAAAATCACCCCATTGCAATATTAAATTCACTTTGTCCAATAGAAACTTGGAAAATAAAATTATATAATTCTAATAATTTAAAAACAAAAGCATAACGTTTTAAAAAGGAAAATAATTATGTCAAATATAAAATAGAATTCATATACTTGTAATTTACATCTTGTAATTTAATTATTTAATTTGTTTTCATTTATTAATCTCCTTCATAACACTTCTTTATGTGATAAATTTTTAATAATAATTATATTTTGACATTGTATATTATCATTAAATAAAATAATTAATAAATATATAAGTCATAATTAAAAAATTAGGATAGGTGATCAGATTTTTCTTTACACCTTCTACTAAATACAATTAGGATGATTTTAGACTCTTTTTTTTGTTTTTATATAAAACTGATATTTGTTTACATGTATGTTTGGATTAGTGAGTAGATCTAAGAGGGTAGAAAAGGAAAAAAATGAATTGAAAAATAATAAAAAGAGAAGGTATTCTTATTAAAGGAAATATAGTAGAAACAAAAAAATTGAGAGGAAATAAATAAAATTTAAAAATTTATTTATATTTTTTTAATAATTTTATTTATTATTTTTATATATTTTTAAATTATTTATTATAATTATAATTTTTCTTTTTTAAAAAATTTATCACATTATTGATTATCTCATATAATCAATTATATTTTATATATTTCACTTTCTGGGATTTATTGACAGAAATATAAGAAGGTAGAATTTTTGTTGTGAAACTCAAATTTATGGCATTGAAAAGTGCATTTTAGTTGCAAATTATACTGCATCGTATTCAAAAGATCAAATCAAGACATATGAAAATAACTCGAATAATTTATTAAATAATTGTAAAATATAGATTTATTCAATCATATAATTCTTAAGTAATTTATCTTAATAGATTTTAAATAATTAATTCTCTTTCCTATTTCATTTTATTTGTTCCTTCGAAACTAAACGTACACATGTTATGTTTCACTTTGATGGAATTCTTTTCACCCTTCCCTTAACAAAAAAAATACGAGATTATTCTAAGATTGAATTTCGTATTCCAATGAACTTCGTAATAATAAGAAAATAAGTTTTTTAACTACTAGTCTAAGAATATATTTTTTTCAATCTATTAGTTTAAATCATTAGGATTCGTAAGAGATTCTAACCAAGATCATGCAAATCAATTATACTTATAAATTTCCTTAAAATAAAGTTATTTATATTAGGATTCAATTTGTATTTAGTCAATTCTATTTATTATTTACCGTAAATAAAGTCTTAAATATTAAGTGGTTTTTAGTCTTCTACGTTATTAGCGGTTGTTATAACATGGTTACTGGTTTTTCTCCGTGTCAATTATGTAAGGCTTATATATATATAAGCTTATTTCTCTTAATAAAGCAATTGTACTATTCTTCTGTCATATTTCAAAGCTTTAGTTTATTTACTATAAACATTGTAAGCATTATTTAGTAATTAATAAGTTGGTATCAGAGTTTCGAAATAAGCCTAATAGAGTGCAAAGAACATGGCAACTGAAGCAAGCAATTTTGTACAAGCCTCCATCCCAAAATTTGATGGAGATTACAATCATTAGAGTCTTCTTATGGAGAATCTTCTAAGATCGAATGAGTACTGAACCGTGGTTGAATCGGGTTACCAAGAGCCGCAGGATGTACAAAGCTTATCAGCAGCACATCAAGAAACATTAGACGAGATGAAGTTGAAGGATCTAAAAGCCAAGAACTTTCTTTTTCAAGGTATTGATAAGTCTATTCTGAAACCATCACTCAGAAAGAGACTTCCAAGCAATTGTGGGACTCAATGAGAGTTAAATATCAAGGAAATGCTAGAGTTTAACGTGTTCAACTTCAAAGACTCTGAAGAACCTTTGAACTTCTAGAGATGAAGGTGGGAGAAACTATCACTGACTATATTGCTCGAGTCATGGTGGTAGTCATTGACATGAGAAATTGTGGAGAAGATATGACAAATGGTAAAATTGTTAAGAAGATATTATGAACTCTCACAGAGAATTTTGACTACATTGTGTGCTATATTGAAGAAGCAAATGACACTGACAAGCTTACGGTTGATGCACTACAAAGCTCTTTGCTCATTCATGAAAAAAAAGTTATTAAGAAGAAGAGAAGGAGATGAGCAAGCTCTAAAGATTTCATATGAGGAGAAAACATATGGAAGAGGACGAGGTTGTGGGGTAGGCAGAAGCGTGGAGTTGAGGAAGAGGTCGAGGTAGATCTTTCAATAAAGCAACAATCGAATGCTATAACTTTCATCAATGGGGGCACTTCAAGTATGAATGCCCTAAATGGGAGAAGGAGGAAGCTCATTACATGGAACGGAATGAAGAGGAGGAGCTATTATTGATGGCGTATGTGACAGAAAACAAAGCAAAGCAGGAGGATGTTTGGTTCCTAGATAGTGGTTGTAGTAACCACATGACCAGCCGCAAAAAATGGTTTGACAAGATAGACGACAAAGGATTTACACACTCAGTAAAGCTAGGTAATGATACAAGCATGACAATAAATGACAAAGGAACAATTAAATTACAAGTGCAAGGAAGAACACAGGTAATTAGTAACGTGCTCTATATTCCAGAGTTACGCA